CTGATCTTCAATCTGCTAATATAACTTGTAAATATATATATATATATATATATATATATATATGAAAATAATTTTTTTCTCTTTAATTATAAAAATATATAAATAATTACATAATAACAAGCACTTATTTAATAAGTTTTTATTAAGTCGTTTATTCTACCAAATAAATGGGTATATTATAGTTGAATAATTTTTTCAAGTATAAAAAATAAAAGTAAAGTTATATTTTTAATTCTTTATCTTCTTTATTTAAACTAGTAGGATTAAGGTACTTCGTGCTTCTATTAAAAATAAAATAAAAATAAAAATTAAGTAATAAAAATATGTTGATATAATTATAATTAGTTCATTAATTTGAATTCTTAAATTTGATTAGAAAAATATTTTTTATAATTTTTTAAAATAAAAGAGTATAATGGTCAACTAAATATAGAGACCAAGGTAATTACTAAAAAAAACATTTCTTTATATATTAATATAGATTTAATTTAATCTTTTATTTTAAAAAAATTAATTCAGTCTTTATTTATAACTATATAAAAAAAATACTTCAATTTCGTCTCCATAATTTTTAATACTGTTTTAGCCTTTAATAATTTGTTATTCAATACTTTATTTGTGTGGTTACTTGGGACATAAATAGAAAATTAAAAATTTTGGTATTAACCCACTTCTCCGGTATTTTATAAATTTGTAACTGCATGTTCTATTTAACTTCCTGTCTTTTGTAACAACATGATTTTTAAACGTTTTAGAAAATAAAAGATTTGTTTTTTAACACCATAATAAAAAATTAAAAAGAATCTTAAAATCTAAATAAATTCACAAATTTCTAATTTATTTTAATTTTAAAAAATAAAAGAAAACAAGTCGGTGCATGAGTAAAAAATCGAAAAGTATCTATATTTAAAAAACTCTCCCGGAGGAAGAAAGAAAGAGATTGAGAAAACCTAGATGGATCAAGAACAGAAATTTCTTCAGTTTCGCAATGCGATATGATCGTGCTCTGCACTTGTATTTATAAAGTGAGTCAGGATGATTCTTTTCTTTAAGTTCCTAATGGTCAAACTTTAAAAAAAATTAAGTTTATCATTAATCGTAGACTTTAACTTCTAATATATTGAATGACGAAATTAAATTCAATTGAAAACATAAAACATTAAATTAAAACTTATTTAAAAATATAGAGGACCAAATCAGACATATTTAAAAAAAAATAAAAAAATCAAAATATAATGTATTAACATAATTGTATAAAGTTATATTGAAATTGAAATAAGATATAAATAAAAATGAGGTAACACTTTAAATTATGTAACAATTGGTGATATTTTATTTGTTAAAATAATTTTTTAGTTCTTACAGTTTCACTTATTTTACCTTGTAATATTTATAGTTTAAAATAATTATTTTAATTTATATATTTATCTTTTCAATACTTTTAAATCTTTATAGATTAAGATAATTTTTTTAATTTTTATAGTTGCAAATTTTTAATCTTTAATCCTTTAATCCCTATTTTTTTTGTAAGGTTATAAATTTTGTGTTAACGTGTTAGGTCTTTAATTTTATAAACGTAAAAAAAATGTTTTCCACATTGCAAGTTAGAATTAAAAAAAATGATTTAATTTAGTGTAACTCTAGTAAATAAATTTTATATAAATAAAAAAGTTGAATTAATACTTTTGTCATGTCAATATAAAATAAGTAAAAATTAAAAAGATTAAAAAATTATAAGTATAAAATTTAAAAAAATCTATTTTAAACTAGAAGAACTAAAAATATTAAAAAGATAAATAAAAAGATTAAAAATTTATATTTTGAAATTATAAAAACTAAAAATAAAATAAGAAAGCTAAAAGATTAAAATAATATTTTATTTTATTTTATTTTTATGATGATGTGCAACTCAATAACAGTATCGTTAATAGACATGTGTCAACTAAATCAACATTTTTACGACAAATATTAATGATGATGAAAAAAATTCCTAATGTCTTGAAAATTTAGAATTCGAAAGTAAAATATTTATAATCATATGGATTATTATTATTATTATTATTTACAATTTAAGCACTTTATTTTCTAAAATAAAAAAAAATAAATTAAGTTCAATCTAGAAGTGAATGTCTTCATCTGATATATTTTAATTATAAAACTTAAAAATAATATATAAAGCTTTCTTAGTTCAATAGTAAAAATATGTCATTTTTTTTATAGTAAAGATAAGAAATATTACAAAGATGATCGCAATGAAAATTGAACCTAGGTCCTCATGCTTCTAACTATCTCAACCTCTCCTCACTCAATCACTAAGTTAACCCTAGTAATCTAACCAAATTGTTATTTAACTACGTAGTCACGATTTTGGTTTGATTTTAAAGTATTATTTTAGAATTCCATTATTGTTTAACCAAATTGTTATGTTAAAAGAGTAATGTTAATTTTTTTTAAAATTAAATGATTCAATTTTGATTATCTAATTTTAAAATGATGTTATTTTAATCATGTGATTGTGAGTTTGTTCCTATAGACGATATTATTTCAGGATTTTATTATTTTTCAACCAAATTGTCACTTTAATGAAATTAAGTTAAATGATAACATTGATTTTTCTCTCTCTTAAAACTAAAGGACCAAATTTAACCTTTTAAAAAATAATGAGATCAAATTGAACATTTTAAATGATTTGATTTAATCATTTAAACGATGTTCAATATTGTTGTTTCATCGAGTTTCATTAACGTTGTTAATGTAAATTTAAATAAAAAAGTAATATTAAACATTTTAAAAAAATAAAATGACCAAATTAAATCATTTAAAAATAGTAAAATCAAGTTGAATCTTATAAATAAATAGAAGGACCAAAATATAATGTATCCTAAATATTTATATAGAGTAAAAGTATAGTTGGTTTTAAATTTAAATATTCTAACAAAAGTGTATTTTAACAACATCAAAATGTACCTTATAAAAAAACAAGTTTTTAACAAACCCTATGAGAATTTATTTACATATATTCACTTAATATTCACATGTCCTTTTGCATGTTGTTGTACTATTGCAACCTCTTTATACAATCTATAGACCAAAAGTGATTATTATTATAAATAGTTTTTTTTATATTGTTTTATGGATAATATAGAGGTTAGGTTATTTATTGTTTATTTTATTAAAAAAATGAAAATAATATTTTCAAATTATTATTTTATTTTATCTTCATCTAACTTATCATAGGGGTGGGGAGAATTTTGAGCAACTTTTATCTAATTGTATTGTTAGAAAAAAATTTATTTCATTTACAATGAAAATAAAATATATGGACACCCAAATAACATTATAAATATAAATAAGGGAAAAATGAATCTAATGTCATTCAACAATGTTGCTTATATCACGAAACATCTCAACAAATATTCATTATATCAAATCACAATAAAATTTTGTTTAGACAAATTTGGAAAACTATTCTCATTACAAAATTTTCCTCTCACATAAAGTAGTAATGAGTGACTCTTTTCCTTCTCAATGGATAGTGTTTTTTCTCATTACAATATCTTTTTTTATAATAAAATTTAAAAATTACTAGAGGAGTTGAGATATTTTGTGTCTTTAACTTACATAGACTATTACAATTTTTTTATATATAAATTTTCTCAATTTTATCATTTATCTATAAGGAGTTATCATATAATTGAATGGACAAAAAAATTTAAAAATATAAAAATCAAAGTATTTATTTAAAAATATATTCCTTTTATTAAAAATTATAAATATTGATAAATATCACACTTCTTTATTTACATCTTATTATCATAGTATCGTTGTTATATTTTTTTTTTTGCCTCGTCACTCCAAAGTATATCATTTCTTGTAACAAGCATTTAGTTCTTCCTTTTTGTTAGTGTAAAGATTTAAATACTAATCATGTTTTGAATTGCATGAAGAGATAGGAAAATTCGATGCACATTAGAGTATCTTGCACCTAATTCATATTTGTCCCATTTTCAGCATCCGATAAATTTTGACTAATTTGACTTTAAAGTCAATTTGGATTTGGATTTTTCAATTCTAGTAAATATTACCTTCTCATCTTTGCTTTATTAATTAAAAGTTACAAAATGTGTCTCTTAATTTTAAAAAATTAATAATAAAATAAAAAGATAATAAAATAGATGGTTGACCAGTTGTAAGTAATTATTTAAAGTAAATGATAATTTTTTTTTCTCTTCACATTTAAGAATATAGATCCATACTAATATATAAAAGGAATACACTTTTTGATAATCACCTTAGTCTCTACTTTTTTGGACCATTATACCTTTTTATTTTAAAAAATTAGAAAAAATATTTTTAATCAAATTTAAAATCTTGAAACTAATGAATTTATACTAATATATAAAGGGATTTCACTTTCAATAATATCTTTTAATTTTCATTTTTATATGGACGATTTTATCTTTTATTTATTTTTTAATAATTACTTTTTTATGCGTAACTTCTCATTTTATTTATTTATTTATTTTTTAATATAATATAGGCACGAAGTGCCTTTTTCCTGCTAGTATAGATAAAATAGATAAATATTATCTATACCCTTTTCTGTAACCACCTTGGTTTCCACTTTTTTTGACCATTATACTCTTTTATTTTAAAAAATTATAAAAAAATATTTTTTAATCAAATTTAAGAACTTGAAATTAATGAATCTATACTAATACTAATATATAAAAGAGATATCACTTTTAATAACTACTTTATGTTTCTATTTTCAATAATTATCTTTTTTATGAATAATTTTTTTAATTTTTTTCTTTTTATTTATCTTTTTCTTTTAATACAATGCATGTACGAATACTTTTTTCCGGCTAGTAGATATAAAATAGATAAATATAAATATAAAATAAAAATATATATAAATACATATCTAGATAGGTATATAGATATGGATATAGGTTAAAAAAAGATAATTTTCTGTTATCCCTTGACTCAGTTCAACATACTTTTTGTGTGAAAAAATATTCATATATTGTTAACTATTTTAATCGGCAACTAATAACAATAAAAAAGAAATTGGCGGAAAAAAAAAAAAAGAATGAATAATTGGACGTAGGTGTAGGTGGCGATTATGTTGCCAATGGTTCTTAGTTGGCAGTGGCAGTTACCTCTTCGAATTATGAGTAATGACCCTTCAGCGCCTCTTCATTTCTTTCAAAAATTTGAAGCAACATGCGATGCCAGAAGAAGAAAGGACATGAACCGAACCAAGAAACACCAAGAAAACGGCGTCGTCAATGTCAGGGAAGAACACGAGGAAGCACTGGTGGCCCTCGTCCAACATCGTACCCGTGAAGTCAAAAACCTACGTTACTACATCTCTCATTACACGACCCAGGTTACTCCTTTCTCTTCAATACTATTTTCTTTTTTCTTTTCAGTGAAAACAGATCGACACACACAAGTTTTACGTGAAAGACGTTATTTTTATTCCAAGAAAAGCCTAAAAGTATAATCTTTGTGTGGGAATTATAAGCTGATTGCATGCTTGGACAAAAAATTGCAGCTTGATGAAGCGGAAAGAAAGTTGCAAGAATCTAAATCCAAATTGGCTAAACTTCGGGGCAAAACAAGTGCAACTTTATTATCAGATGTTGAATCTAAACATGTGAAGACAGAACATGGATCAAAGAACGGTTTCACTCAAGAAAGTGATGATTTTTTCAAGAATCATCGTCTATCTAATAAGCCACACCTTCTTGTTCCTGCTGCGAGTTCGAAAATCTCGCAGTGCATACCTACACTGCCATCTTCTACTTCTCGTGCAAATGCGACAACAAAAGATTCAATTGTAGGTTCAAGTGCTCCTTCAACCATGAAGAGGGTTCAACAAGAAAATGTTGAAATCAAGGATAGAAGGAGCAAAAGGAAGCTTGGTAGCCTTCTTTATTATTATTATTATTATTATTATGTGAATTTGGCCACCTCATGAGACCATAATCAATGACTAAAATAAAGTTAACTTTGGCAAGAATTTTATTTGCTTCACAGGACAGAAAAGACACGAGGAATTGATTCCTTTAATATGTGGGAGTTCTTCACCAGGATCAGTGCCTTATCAAATGAGCAATCACTTCTCAAGTCAACACAAGAGGAAATTGCGATGTATTGCTTTGTGTCCTTTGAATGATCAACGTTTTGTGACGAGGTAATGGAATCATTTCTTCATGGCAAAAGATTATGTATATGTTTTGATCATAGATTTTTTTTAATGAAAGGGTTATGGGTGTGATTGGATTTTAGTTTGCAAACCATTGTTTCCCCATAGAATCTTCTAATAAAATCATGTTTAAATACGATATTGTTGAAAGTTGACTCAATATAAAAATTGTCTCTTTTTTAATTCTTCGGGCAGCCTATGTGAAGCACAAACATATCGCCGGACGATATTTCTTCACTGAGTCACAATTTTAAATTATTAATCTTTTTGGTTCGAACTCCTCTCTAACACGAGTTGGACACGAGCTAATATAATAGAATAAACCAATATCATTTCTTAATTAAACACTTATCTAATACTCTTATTATATAAAAATAAATTAAAAATTAACTCATTTTAAATATGATTCATCTATTAAGAGTCATTATCATGTACAAATTATAAAGTTTATATATACATGTTGTGTCCCCATGTCACATATTTTGGACATTAACTATTTTTTGGTGTATCTATATGTTGTGTCTAGTGTTCGCGCCAGATTCGGTGCTTCACAAGTACCAAATTTTGGTCAAATGCATTTCATGCATTTTTTTCAATTAGTGATTTGAAAGCTCCTCTTATAATTAGAGACCTGTCTATATAAATACATGGAAGCATGACTTATGTGTTATGCTTTATCCATCCTCATATTAAATTACAGTCTGATAAAATACTTTTATGGCAAGTCTATTACAATTTGATGTTTGTATTTTTATTTTTTTGAGAATGTTTGCAGTGCTTTGGATGGATTGGTCAACCTGTGGGAAGTTCAATCTTCAGGGTATATCTTAGCCTTTTTAAATAAATTCTTTATATTGTTATACCTTCATGTAGGTTGACTATCAAAAAATCAAATAATACTTGAGATCACCGTAGAAATGAATTTAAAATATGGGTCTGCAAGATAATGGAATCCGATTGTAATATTGAGGCAGATCTAATGCATGCCAGGCACTTTTGAATGTCTTTGGATTTTATTATATGGTTCTTTCCTATCTATAATAAGGACATTCATGTTTAAAATTACACGAATATATTCCACCGGTGACGGTTTATAACTCGGCATATATTAAGTTTTGTAGTAGAAAATGTTATAACTTTGGAACTTCAAAATATTTTAAATATTCTTACCCATATTATATATTTCACATTTTATTTCTCTCCATCTTGATTTGTAGATCAAGAGCTTCTCTGCTTAGAACAACAGATTGTATATCCCCAAATCAGAGGAGATGGCCAGAAGATATAGCTTGGCACCCTGAGGGAAATAGCCTGTTTTCAGTATATACTGCTGATAGTCAAGACTCTCAAATATCAGTTACAGATTTGAGTAGAGTACAAGGGGGAGTGGTAAGATACAACTTTTGACACATGCTGGCATAGATGTAGCACTTTTAGAATTTGCTTTCTTTTATAGTTAATTGATTCATATTATGCCAACTATGCTATGCATGTAATTACAGAGAGCACGTGTCAAATTCTTAGAGGAGAAGCCTCATGTTAAGGGTGTTATAAATAGCATTGTTTTTCTGCCCTGGGAAAATACCAGTTTTGTAACTGGGGGAACTGACCATACTGTCATACTATGGAATGAGAATGGTGAGAACAATTGGAAGCCAGAACGATTGCATAGGAATCTTCATTCTTCTGCTGTCATGGGAGTAGCTGGGATGCAGCATAAGCAAGTTGTGTTGTCTGCTGGTAGAGACAAGAGAATTTTGGGGTATGATGCTCGTGTAGGAAAAGAAGACTTTTTGCATCAAGTTGATAGTAAATGTTTGAGTGTCCTGCCAAATCCGTGTGACTTCAATTTATTCATGGTTCAAACCGGGTAATTTTTATCTGCCTTTGGAATTCACTGTCACTGAATTCATTTTATTAATTTTAGCCGGATTTGGCTCCTCTTACTTTAGTGCAAAAAAGAAGGAATCTCAATCAATGGTTGATATTATATGCATGTGCATGACAATCATTGTCTTGTTAAATTCTACTTGAGGGGTTTTCCTCATTAAGAGTTGAGATACCTCACTTTCTATCTAAAGTGAATTACTCTCTTTAGAAGAGTTAAATTCTATACTAGGCTTCTTAACATGCCTCTTATTTTTGTTGCGTCTTGGATGTTTTCTTTATGGAAATTTGTGTATGTTTGAAAATGGAATATAAGATTTGATCTAGAAGTTAAAAACCAGATGAACACTCGAACAAACACTTCTTCACAGCTCGGGTACTTGAGCGGTTGATCAACACCTTGTGAATATTTTTTACCTAGGAGTATCTTTATTGAATATGGAGACTAATATTCTTTGGGAGTTTGACATGCACCAAATATTCCATCTTAAATTTTTTGCATATGTGCGCAAAAACTACTACTTGTTTAAGTGATGAGAGTCACACATCACTCATGTCAATCTAAGTTGGTGACAATATAGCTAACTAGTTAAGGATAAAAAACAAGAATATTGCCCATAATTTAGTAAGGATTTTTTTTCTTCTAAATTTTCAACCAGGATATATAGGTTTTATTCTCACAATTCAATCAGTGTTTTTTCAGCTTTGTCCTTCTGTTATTCATATACTTGGGTGTGACATACAAAGTATAGCCATGAATTTGGCTTTGATCGTATTTTTTTGTTGCACAAGTTTAAAGGAGACACTAACTGTTTTTCTTTACTTTTATTTGTTGCAGGACCCCTGAGAGGCAGCTTCGATTATTCGATATTAGATCAAAAAGGACAGAACTTCATGCCTTTGGATGGAAGCAAGAAAGCAGTGAATCTCAGTCAGCTTTGATAAATCAGGCTTGGTCCCCCAATGGACTGTATATATCATCTGGTTCAGCTGATCCCACAATTCACATATTTGATATGAGATATAACGGTCACATGCCTTCTCAATCTATAGAAGCTCATCAGAAACGAGTCTTCAGAGCCATGTGGCTTCAGTCTATTCCTTTTCTGGTTTCCATATCTTCTGATCTCAACATTGGGTTACACAAGGTTGGATAGAACTTGTCAACGCTCATAATATAACATAACATAACTCTTTTTATTGTTAATGGTCCATAATATGCATATTTCACATGATTTTGTTGGACACATTGCATAACTCAATGGTCAATTTTTGCATGTAGACTAGGTGACACTTTGGTATACTAATCACTTAATAATGCGACGAGTGTATTTCCATTGTATTTGCCAACATGCTCTTATTCGCAACAATTTATTCTAAGGAGTAAGAAACGTCAAACACGGCACCAGTGGACTATCTATCTTCTTTGAGGTTCCACTTTAGTGTGTCAACCCCGTAGAAACATAGGTTTATAAACATGACTTATTATGAAAGTCCCAAAAGTCATTATAGGTATGGTTCACATTCCAGTTAATTTTAGTGACCATCTTATAAAAGATGAAGAGATAGTTCAGACAAAGTTGCTGTAGTTTGAGATATTGAGCTGATGTCATTGTTTTATTTTTATACGAAACAATCAGTAAAATTGTAAAACATGCTAATGACTACTTGCAGTATTATTGTGTTCCGATGACTTTGAACCCAAATGCATGCTATGATTGAGCTATTGAAGAATTTATGCAGGACAACTATTCAGATACCAAACAGTCAATTTGGATAAATGATAATGCCGTGATGCAAATGTTAGATTCATATCTTTTGGAATATTTAATTAAAAAAATTGTTATTTCAATGCTTAGAAATGCAGATCACTGAGAGTACAGAAGTCGTGAGAGACTGACAGAGCACTTACGAGAATTTAACTTGGAGCTGCAGGATGGGTCATTGGGGTGTTTGTCATCAAGTCATGTTCATTGGTCAGCAAGAGGAATGTGAACTCACTTCCACCATTCCTAAGGTTGAGGAATCAGAAGATGAAGAAAAAGTCATTGACGTTGAGCCTATCTTCATGCCAAAATTTAAGAAAAGAAAACGCCTAAGCCTTAATCGTCTTAGAGAGATTAAAGCAGATATGTGCGATGGGCAAAGTAGTGACATGGCTAAAACAAAGAAGTGTGCAAGCAGAGACAGATGGTCAGCTAAGAGGTAATATATGATATTCTTTCTGCTGTTACTATCTTCTAACATATATTAAGTCGAGACAGTAATGTAATGTAGGTATAAGTTGGCTGAGCAAAGCATGTGGGAGGTCTTAAAAGGTGAAGGTGCAACTTTTGAAAATCCAATTACCCGAAATGCACTAAGATTGGCTGCCCGTAAGCACATTGGTGATACTGGACTATTAGACCACTTACTAAAGCACATTGATGGTAAAGTGGCACCTGGAGGAACTGAGCGGTTCCGACGGTGGTTCAACACCAATGGAATCATGGAGTATTGGTTGGAGAGTGCTAGTTTGGATAAGATCCGCCAGGAGGCCGGGATGCAAGACCCTTACTGGATACCACCGTCTTCTTTAAGGGCATGCAGTGTTCCTACTCTGAATACTGATTCCATTGGTGAACTGAAAATGCTTAAAATAGAAATGGCCCAGATGAAAAAGTATTGAACTCGGAAACTCGAATTTCATAATAATTTTGTATGCTTACTATTATATGTTCAATTTTAATAAATTAATTTGCATAGCAGAGATATGCAAGAGCTCATTGCCAAGAAGCAAGAAAAAAACGAAATGTGTTTGATGAAGGTGAATAATTTAAAAATTCAATGGTTGTTGTCTTGAATAGAACTTTATGAACTTCTATATTGATATTTATCTTGACAGGAGACACAGAAAAATTATGTGAATTGGAAAGCTATGACTGAGCAGCGTGTAACTGATATTATAAATTCTTTGAAGGGTGTGCAGGTATCTAAGCAGTTTTCCGCACTTTCACTCTTTAAGAATACAGGCCTTATTTACTATTTTTTTTAAAGAAAAAAGAAGTTTCTTGATTAGGAGAATAATAATGTGAAATTTTCCTGGGGGGTGGGGGTGGAGGACTGTTTTAGTGCTTTTCTTAGAAGCTAAAAATAGTAGCTTCTTAAAATGATATCTAAGAAAATGCTATATCATATAGTCACTATTTATTCAAGCTTAAACAAAGTAGGCCTTAATGGGATACATATTATGTTGAATGTGATTTCTTTTACATTGTTAGTTTGTCCATGAATGTGTTATCTGGCTTAATGTAGCTTTACATATTGACAGGGCATGCATGAAGACATGTTGATTTGGAAAACTAAAGTTGAGCAACAGCTTATGCAAATAACCAACAAATTGAGTGGTGTGCAGACATTGAGAGAACACACCACTTCAAGTTATTCTCCTGTAAGATGGGAGGATTGGCTGGAAAGCACCAACCTAGACAATATTCAGGGAAATGAACTTGGACCTTGGTTTGGGAATCCTGAGCTACTTAATGTTCTTCCACAAGAGGTTGTACTTCAAGATCCAAACTTAACCCTACCAACTCAGCTGCACGGGGTAGAACTGACTAACATGAGGAGGTAATGCAAATAAAATTATATTCTTTAAAACCTTTCCATTCCATGCTCTTTTTGAGGGCAAAAAAGATAACAAATGAGGAAAAATGTTACTTATTTCAGTAGCCCCCTCATTCTTTCTCCTCGTGATTATAGCAATTTGCTGGAGTTGGTGCCAGAGAAGCTAAAGGAAGATCAAACTAATGTGACACCTGATTCTTCTACGACGGTTAACTCAAAATCAGAAACTGACAATTCATTGATATTGTTTCAGGTGATGTATTATATTATATGCCTTGTATATAATATTTTCTAAATTTTTATATTTTTCAATTTAGTATTTATTGCATAATATTTTTCTCACAGGAAATGTTCATGGAGTTATTTACATCAAGGGATAAAATGGAGCAGCAGTTATTGGATATATCAAATACTGTATATCGTATGCTGGCAATGAAATAGACTCTACATCGAAGTATCCTAGTATCAAGCCTAATTTTTGGACGCTAATTTTTAACCATTTTCTCTTGTTGCTTTCAGAGTGTAGGGCTTAGATATTGTACAGGTTAACAATATAACGAAGTGAAATCCTTCTCCAACCACAACATAGAAGCCGCATCTGAATCTCACCCACACTGAGCTGCAAATTGTCGATATTTTTCCCTGGCCTTTTATAGTACAGTTGGTTTCTGCTTTAAGGTAGGTCACTAGGTCATCGTTAGGGATATTATTTTAAGTGACAGTTTTCTAGTTTTGTTCAGTAAAAGTTAAGCTCCTGTTAGGCTTTTATTTAACTTATTAGCTCGAGTGACTCTTGAAAATATGTACTTGAACCTTATTTGGGGGATAAGTTGCTATATGTAGAATTTGTGCGGTATAGTTCATCATATCTCGGATTACCCAAAAAAAACCATTCCTGATTCACAATTCAGCTGCTAGTAAATTTTTCTTTATTTTGACACGATGTAGCTGCTGGTGCTTAATCCTTCACAATCTCATTTTTGTTTAATGTTTTTATAATTAAAATTCAATAAATATGTCGGTGTAAAGTTTTACGATGATGTTCAATTACAAATTTTATATGATAAATGACGCATGTATAACAAATTGTATCGCAATTTATACAACAAAAAGTGAGAAAGAGAGATTTTTTTATTTTTATTTTTTATATTTAATGAAACAAGGTATTTTTTTCTATCGAAGAAATGAGTTTCAAGGAGTGCAGTGAGTTTAGGAATTGAATTACTTTGGTTGAAAGCTCATGGTTTAAGTCTGCTGAGTGCCGAACGTCGTTAATACCCTGCTATAAGAATTGTTGGTGGCATTTAATCTATACACTAACACACCATTACGGGTGAATACGATCTGCAAACACTTCAAGCTCTCTTTTGTAGAAGAGTAGTTATATGTGGACATTTTAATAGTGGAAACTGGAAACACCTATTTGACATTTATCACATTTCTATCTTTTTTTTTTAAAAAAAAATTATCTCTTTCTAAATGTCTTAACGATGTAAGTGATTATAAATCATTTTTCTTTGTAGATTTTCATTTTCTCCCTGAGAAGTTGGTTAACCAAATCAATATCCACAAATTACTGTCAAACTAATTTTGAATTTCTTTATTGATATTGAACCTCTCTATTTTTGGATTTTACGTGGCCGGAATTTGTTGATTTTTTTTAATAATACTAAAAAGCTAATATTTATCAATATAACACTCCTTTCACCTTTTCGAATTTATTTATCCAAATATGACTCTTTTTTTTTTTAGTCTAAACTCTGTTATTGTTATTAAAGATAAAAAAAGCCACTCTTTATTTCTTTGAAAATTTCTCCATAAGGTTTCAACTCCCTTCACTTTTTTATATATTATTTTTCTGACATGTTAAGAAGAAGGGTTTGGGGACACGACTTCTTAACAGGTTATTTTTATTTTATTTTGTTTTCTAATTTTTGGGTTTAAAAGTAAAAATAATTTATAATTAACCTTAATTATTTTATGGGTTATTAGTGAAAAATAATAATACAAAGCAATAGAAATAAAATAAAGTGTATCAATTGTTATAATAAATAAATTCTAAAAATTAAAAATAAAACTCAATATGCATAAAATATTAACCTTAAAATAAATTATTAATAATAATGATAATAATTAATAAATCATTTGGCTCAGCCTACTATGGGCCAATGAAAATTTAGTTTGGGCTAGACCAAGGGTCTGAGTTTTGACAGTGCAACCCAACCTATTTGTCTAATTGTGTTAGTTAGGTCTAATTTCATGTATCCATAAACAATTAAATCAGTGTTAATAGTTTTATTCAATATTAATTACGTATACTTTATTAGTAATCTATTAATTAGTGAATTGTCAGCGACATAGTATGGACTCCCAACAACGTCACAAAAGGATTCACCTGAAAAGCATCTCACTGTGTTAGGCATAGGAACACAGCATGAAAGCATTTCCAGTTGATCTAACAATGACTGAAATTAAGAAAGGTATAAAATACGACTTGTAACTAAAAGACAAGACTGCATAAGTTCTACTTAAATATTAAATAGCTAAGTATGTTTTGCCAAGAAAATACTTTTCTTCATTCAGAATTTGCACCAAGATAAAACAAGTGCACCTTTTCTCAGCACTTAAGAGGACTGTTGTAACAAAAGGAATTCGAGTCAACTGACAACCACAAGGATGCAGCTATAAGACTCCATTTAAGAAGATAGTAATGATTTCAACTTTTCACAAGTTTTGCACGCAAAGCACACTAAATATAGCATAGCCCTAAAAAATTACTTTAATATAGAAATACAGGTTCCAGAGTCCAAAATCATGGCAGTTAGAATTGCCAAAAGTTAATGTTTTAAGACACCAAAACCATGGAACATAAAAAGTAGTAATAGTATACTGACTTCCCTTATCCCATTTCAACTCCTTTTCCTTTTTTTACCCATTTTAATCTGCCTCAGATCAACTAATCGAGCTCATTCTTCAGTGCCTACAGGGATTTCTCACACAACACCAAGCTCTATTACTCAATTTCATGGACAGCATGAAAAAGGAGAACAGAAAAATGTAGTAATTCATACGTCAAACACGGCACCAGTGGACTATCTATCTTCTTTGAGGTTCCACTTTAGTGTGTCAACCCCGTAGAAAAGGGAAGCAATATTCCCTTCTCAAATTGGTCACATGTGTTGGTCAACGTGACCGATAGGGACCTTCCGGTACATATTGGTTTGCTAATTGTTATGTTAAAACATGGATCAATTGAACTATATAATTTTTTAGTGAACATGAGAGTTAGGGATATTTTAAGCACGGATCAATTGAACTATATAATTTTAGTACTCATTTATTTTTTTTAATATCATCCAAAAATATTTTGTTAGTTGTTTGTTTTGAATTAAATTCTAAACATTTATAATATCCAACAAATACCTTGCAACTTAATGCGGTGTTAATTTGTTTAATATTTGCTTTTCTATTCTTGGAAAATTTATGCTGACGTAGTTGCAAAATATTAATTGTATTTGAACATTAAAAAAGATGTTGTATTTGTATCTTTTTGAAATGTTATTCCCACAGCAAAAAGTATATCTAGACATTTTTTCCAGCACCACTCATCCTTTCATACATAGAGGAGGTGAGAGTAATTCATTTTCATGAGAATGATCGAAGATTTACAAAATGGATAATGGCAGGAGAGAAAAATATATATTTTTTAATTATTTATAAGGATATAATCAAATATATTCTGGACTACATTTCTAGATATAAAAGATTTGAAAAGAATATAATTTCTAAAATTAACATTCCCTCAAAAGTGTCTTGTACCTAATAATCAATTGAGAAAATAGGTCATGCATTTGCACTATCATCCAATCATTAACTATAAGTATAATAAATTTGTTGATTTTATTAAAGGTATACTTATTACTAGTGATTGTGTAGTCCTTAATTAAAGTTTAGATTTCAATTTTTAATTATGATGTATTTGTAAATAAAAATATTACTTTATTTCTAATTGTGGGTTTAATTGTTGATGAGAGAAGTTATACTTTCTTCTTTAACTAAAAAAGAAATATAGTCATTAAACTTGCAATAATCATGAGAAATCATTTATGATTTGTTTGAGAGTGGGAAAAGAATCGAGGAGAATGGAAGAGAAATGGTGAGAATTTATTTAATAGAAAATAGATAAAAAATAATGTGAAACTTGTAGTTATTTGATAAAGTGAAATTAGGTCAGAAATTAATATTTTTAAAATGTATTTTATATAACTAGATTTTTATGTAAAGTATATTATTTAGATAATTATTTTTTTATCTTTTACTAACTAATTATTTAAACAAGAGTGTAGGGATAGTCCTGTTCATACATTTTTTAGTGAAAAATTTTACATAAAATCATCTCTACTAAAATTCACGAGTCTAATAACAATTTCTCATAAATCCACTAAAATCATCTTATCTAAATATATCTTTTTCTTTTTAATTCCTTAATAATCCCTTCCTTTCTTCTCCAAATCTTACTAAATTTCCTTTTTCAAATACACCATTAATATCTTAGCCATGCATTATGTGATGAGAGTATAGAGAGAGAAGGGGTGGGGTCGTGTGAGGAAATGGTAGTTGGGGGACGTGGGGTGCAGTGATGAAACACGTTCATGAATATTGAAAGAAAGATTTGAGTCACGATCATGCTTGGTGTTATACTTTAAGGGGGTCAGATGAAAAACTAGTCAAGCATTGCAGCCTATGGATGCTCCTTCACCATAGACATGCATGGCCCTCTTCTCTGCAATATTTGTTGCTTCTCTTAGACTTGTCTCACTTTTTGCTAGGTATTATATGTAGCTAGGTAGGAAAAGATGCTTCAACACACTGCCTTTCAAGCTATAATATTATTATTTCTAGGAATCACATGTCTAAAATTATCATGCCTATGCATAAAGAAAAACAAAATGCTTAAAAGCATTATTCTGCAATATCACGTCTTTTTGTATTTTATATAAATAAAAAAGAAAAATTATGTGAGCAATGAGTGAATATAGAGATAATCATTGATCACAAAGGTATGTAAAAATAAGAGAAAAGGTTTTGATAAAATACAATGAAAATAAATATGATCATATTATTAAGTGATTAGTTTACCAAAGTGACACCTAGTTGAAATGTAAAAATTAACCATTGAGTCAAGCATGTGTGTCCAACAAAATCATGTGAAATATGCATATTTTGGATCATTGAGGATAAAAAGAGTTATGTTATGCCATATCATGAGCATTGAGAAGTTGTACCCAACTTTATTTATGTAGCCCAATGTTGAGATAAGAAGATATGGAAATCAGAAAGGGAATATATTGAAGTTACATAATTTTGAATACTTGTTTTTAGTGAACTTTTGTAGATTGAGAAAGTTTGCGACAGTTATATCTAATATCAAATATGTGAATTATGGATCATCTAAATCAAATGTTATATACAGTTTATTTAGTAACCAAACTTTATTTATCTGAGCTGATTGAGATATTCATTATTTTCTTACTTCCATCCAAAGGCGCGAAGTTTTGACAAAAAAAAGGAGTAACTTTTGCCATGGAAATATAAGGTATCTTTTATCATGAAAATAAATGTAATATATACATGATTATTTTATATTTTAGAAATCATTAATTTATAAGAATTTATTTATTTATTATTTTAAAATTCATACTAAACATGATAATGGGATATTTTTTAATTCACTTTTTTTAAAATCTTTGTTGAATCCTTGAATCAAATACAACCTAAGAATAAGTTTAGTTTAAGGAATGAAAGAAAAAAAAGGAAAATGAAATGATTTTTTTTTATATATATCACAAATATTATCTATTGAAAATAGTTATGTTTGAACTAAGTAATATTATTATAAATGATAAAAATCTCAAAATGCAAATATTTTAAAAATGATTATCGTGGATTGTCTGATAAGAAAGAAAATGAAAAAAAAAAGAGAATATAAATATAAAATGTCATAAATATTTTAATAATTTTTATTTTAATTTTGCAAAAACAAGGATATTTTGTTCATTTATATATAAGATACATTTTTCCCCCATTTTAATCCTTAATAATTTTACAATCTTAATTTCTTCCCTCACTTCTGCTTTCTAGCATACCAAACATTCTCTAAGAGACAAGAATATAAATAAAAAAGGAATGAATGAGACATTGTTCTTGGTAGTGTGAAAAAGAAAGAATAAATAGATTAAAAGAAAGTGTCAAAAGCTAAAAATACTTTTAAGGTTTCATAATAAATGTCAGTTTATTTTTTTTAGATACCAAGAAAAAGGTGAAAATCAATAAAGAAAAAAGATGAAGAAAATTAAATGTTGATTTTTATAAAATTGATCAATAAAAATAATAATTAACATTACATTAAAAAAATTAAAATACTAACACTTATTTTAAAATTAAAATATTAACACATTTATTACGAGTCGGGATATAAAAAACCATTGTTCATGTATAAGTAAAAGAATGTCTCAAATGGCAAGTCAAAACTAATCCATTCTTCACATTAATTATTTTGCTACACCATATAGACATGTAGGCCTATCGATTACAATCATTGGAGGTTGATTCCTTCAGTTTTTTAAAAACCATTTGGAGAACAAAATGGAAAAACGATTATAAGGAATTAATTGCTTCTAAATTGCCAGTACCTTAACGGTGCAATTTCAATTTGTGTAGGATCAAAGAAGAAAAATCCAAACTTGAAGCATAATGATTAAGTAACATAGGCTCATTTTTGTGTGGATGATCCATTTAATTTTTATCTTTTTATGTATACATATCACAAAAATATTTTGCGAAAAATAAAACAACAATATATTGTCCTAAAATTACTGTAATTACTAATTAAAACGTTAGCTCCCTTTTTACTATTTCATAGTTCATAATCATCTGTCTTCGACCTCTCGTTTAGCTAGTAGCTACCTATATATATATATATATATATATAAAAAGAAACATGATGACATATACTACTTTTAGAAGCAACATGTTCAAAGGATGTTAGATTTGGTTGTTTGCTGAAAATCTTTCAAAAATGATATGAATAATACACGCAGTGTAGTTTTAATGTAATTTTTAAAATACTTATAAAAAAATTAAAACTTATCTTATATAATATGCGATTTGAATTGTTAATATATTCAGATTAAATTGTTGATTATAATGGTAAATGACCTCATTCTTGTAGAATCCGCTACGTTGAAGTCGTGCTTAGCACGTAATATAATGTAAGAACATCATTAAACAAAAAAAAAAAAGCGTGGTGACGTTGACATTATTCGGCATGATGGTGGATGGGATTTGTTAGTGTTTTTAATTTTTTTTATGAATTCAATGTTGGTATTAAATATTTCAAATTTATCGAGGTAAGTTTGGTAGTTTTTATTTTTATTTTTATTTTTATCATTAAAGCCTTTCTGGATCAAAGTAGTGGTCGATATTACCAAGAAAAAAGAAAGAGATAAATAGATTATACTATAAAGTAGATATAAATATGAGATATAAAAAAAAAATGATTGTAGAATCATTACATTTTCATTGCTCATAAATCATCATGCGTGTATCAGAAATGACAATTTCAAGAAATAAAAAAAGTTATTTATTGATTTGATAAATACCATCTTAATTTTTTTAACTAAACTTTATTTTGGATACTTTCCTATTCAGAAAATGTAATTTTAAGATTGATGATGCTTGGTTTTATATTTTAAAAAATAATCAAGAACATATTATTTTTATTTAGACTTTATATTTTTTGTTAATAATGACGCAAAGGTTAATTGCACTTTGTTATTAGTTTATTAATAATTATATTTAAATTCTATTTGATTCGGATACTGCATTATTTTACTTTGTTTTGTTTTATATATTATTTTTCGTAATTTAGAAAAAAAATTGCGCATAATTTTCTGATTTTATATATGGACCATGCTTATATAAAAAATTGAGTGTAATTATTATGAATTTCAGGAAAGGTTAAAATAATTACTCCGGAATATTATATAATTTATTTTAATTAATATTTTAAATATTTAAAAAACAACGAAAATATTTCTTTACTATAGTACACGCGATAACAAGAATCAATAAGTTTTAATACATTTATTAGATAGATAACTGTATTTCTTAAATATGTCAAAAATAATTTAAATTTTTGGTAGTGTATATAAGAAATATTTTATTGAGAAAGATAAAATTTACTTCAATAATCTATATATTTTGAAAGAAAATATTCTCTAACTACCAATTAAAAAACATCTTTAGTGAAAAATAATAATAATCAGGGAAATAATAAATAATGTGCTACTTCTATTAGTTTATAGTCGCAAATAAAATATGTATTAATTAAAATGAAAAAAAAAAAGGAATATCACATTAAGGCGCGCCAAATCTAGCTTTCCTTTATCAATTATTATAATAAAAAAAACGTCAAACGATAATTATTTAAAATTGAGTATTACTCCTGTAATGTTATAAAGAATGATATTTAATAATAAGACAAAAATAATTTGATCAAATTTAAAAAAGTTTATTAGATGAAAAAAAAAGGTTGGTAAGTATCACTTGTGCATCCAATCCAAAACTCAATCAACATAATACTTATCAACACCATTATAATTAGTTTAGTGGTTAGAACATAAGAAGTTGAAGTAATTAGAAATACAAAGACAAGTTAATCTCTATTTGAATCATTTTTATAATTTTTTCTACTTTTTTTTAAATGACATTGATCTCTAAAAAAAAATTCTGACAAAAAATAAAAGAAATAAATTCAGTGGCATTTTTTAGTTATAAATGAAGAAATAATATTTGACGGTCTAGATGGGATATATTATGAGAATTTTATCACTTTTTTCCTTCTAAAATAATAATTAACGTTTTAAAATTCAATTTGGTAAAATATGTACTGACTCACTCTCGATGAAACATTATAAATTAATTAAAAAAATCATTAATTACTGTTAAGTTCAATGAGCCACTAATAACATTAATCACCTTTTGCAGCATTACTTGCAAAAACTTGCTATGATATTTTAGGCCTGTATGGTTTCCATGTGAGCATTGGTATTTTTTTATGCGACAAAAGTGAAAAAACTTATATTTAAAGAAAAAGTAAAGAAATAAATTTGTGGAGAAAATTAAAAACACAACTTATATTTAAAATATAAATAATTTAAGAAACTCAAATGTCCGGAAACATGACTTATATTAATTTGAGTTAAAAAAATATTAAAGCACAAGTCATGTTTTTTTAAGTAAGGTGATCAAGGTATTTTTAATTTAAATAAAATATAGTATACAATTAGTTATAAAATTATATATTTACATGACATTACGTGTGAAATAGAAATTTAGTTTTGGTTTTAATTTTTACAGAAAATAAAAGAGTGATAATGCAGAAAGGTTGAAGGAGGAAAAGAAAAAGAAAAGAAAAGTTGGGAAAGTAGATAAATAAAAGGATATTGAGTGTCTCGTTTTCTCGATTTTCCTTTCAATTTCTGAGTGAGTCTGTGGTCTTCCCGGTCACCTACTTCAACGCCTATGGGCAATTGCTGCTCCGACGTCGCCGGCGGACAAACCGCCATCGGCGCCACCGCCAACAGCCACCTTAATCCGGCCAACGCTCCCAACGACGCCGTCGATCGCTTCCTCAGGTCTCGCGGCTACCAAGGCCTCTACTCTCAGATCGAGGTTCTCACTTTTATCTCCGCTCTCTCTTCCTATACTTGAGTCCTTTCACTCCGCTACCACTTCAATTCGCATTTACTTTACTAGATTTTTTTAGTAACTCTTTTTTTTCTCTCTCGCAGTTGTCGTTTTCTGCTTCTGGCTTGCGTGATCGGGATGTGCTCTCCAAGGTTTGTCGTTTTAAACGTTTTATGAATCTCAAGCTCGTGTAACGCATTTATTCTGTAGTTTCTTTTGTTAACAAGGGAAATTCTGGACCGTTAGGGAAATCCAATTTTCTTCCCTGTGTGCATGTGAGAAAACGGTTTTCCAATTTTCAGTCTCTGAAAAATCCAATGCTCAATTATTTTCATCAAGTTATTCGTATGATTTGAAAGAGGAGATGATAATTTTTTTTTAAAAAAATTTTACTTCATTCATTTTTTTCCTCTGTTTCTGTATTTTTGTTAAATAGCTAATTATTTATGTTTTTATTTTGATTACTTTCTTCACGGATGTTAATACCGGTTTAATTATCTCTTGTTTGAACTATTTATTTGATAAGAACCTCGTTGTGCGCCCAGAGAGAGAGAGAAAAGAAATGTAAATGTGAGAAGTAACATGATGTGACAAGAGAAAGATATGACTAGTGTCAAAAGAGTGTTTATACGTGTCTATATATCAACGTTTTAGAAAAATTCTGAAGTACTTTCGGTAATGAATAATTGTATTTTACTTCTAGAAATAGGGGAGGAGCATGTAGCTCTCGGGTCATGCATTTTTTATTTGCCATCTACCAGGGAGATTGTCACAGAGCACGATGTCTCCAATGCCGAGAAGGTTGTTGTGAACTTGTGAAGTCTGAACAAGGGTCGTGTTATGTGTTTTAGTTGTATAATTGTATCAAACTGTCATCAGTACTTACTCTCTGAAAGAGAAACATCTCTGAAGGATCAAAATATGACTGAAAGAGTGACAAAGTGGTGATGGAGTGCATTCATATGAGTCGATGTCTTTCTTGAACGAGACAATCCCAGATTATGATTTGATATATGCCTTTTGTTAAAAAAAAAAAAAAAGTTATTTGGAATTGCCCTTATCGTGTGAGGACCACAGAAAATCCATATCAAAAAGAAAATTCTGGCCTAGTGAAGGTGATTCTCTCAAGTAAAAGATGCATAAAAAATGTTTCCCTAACTCATTTATATGCTAACAAATGATTTTTTTTCCTTTTTAACTAAATAATTTGTAGTGGGCATGACGGAAACAGATAATCTCAAACATGGAAAACTTTAATACTTCCTTTTTGTTTCAGATAAAAAGAAAGTAAGCTTGTAACTCATCCTTAATTGTTGTAAAAGATGAAGGCATATTGAACCAGACCTTGTTAACATAATTCAGCATACATACTACATGGATCAATGAGACCACTGTCAATTGTCCACTTGGATGTACTGATTGTCATCCTTTAAATAAAATGTTATGCTTTTAATAGCTTATATTCTCATCAATCAGTTGCATGATTATTGCGGAATGGTTCATTTCTGTAGAGTGATCCAATGATGGTTCTTTATGCAAGAGGAAAAAATGGAGCACTCGAGGAACTTGGCCGGACAGAAGTAATTCTGAATTCATTAAATCCTACATGGATTACTAAACACACTCTCATTTATCATTTTGAGGTTGTTCAGGTTTTAGTGTAAGTTTAAATGGTGATGTTTTTATTTCTAACAAGGCATATGGGCATTTTGTTGTTTCGCCAGGAATTGTTTTCTAAACTTTCTTTCATAACAGGTTTCGTGTGTATGATGTTGATACTCAGTTTCACAATGTAGATGTAAAGGTATAGATAATAGTCTACCATTTCCTGTTCCAGAGATTTGATTTATTTACTGAAAAGACTGCTCAGTGATTCTGAGAATCTTGCTATCTTATGTGGGTTAACTTAGTTAAGACAAATTGTATAAAAATATTGATATTGAGGTTATCTGGCTTGAGCTTTCAAATCTAACTGTTTAGACTTCAAAATTATGTCATACTTCATTGTTTGTTGTGGCATGTCAGTTACATTTTAATTGTTTTTCCTCTGAGATTCCTACATTCAATTTTTAGTTCAAGTTTTTGTTTCATAAGGAAAATTTACGTGCTATTTGCTGCACTGCTACCTTTTTTCTATGAATATGTAAATTCACAGTTCTGAAGCATTTTAGGAGAGAAGCAAAATTTTGTGCATGCTTGATAACATGGATCATTGGATGAGCCTTTTTTAGTTGCTTCTATTTATGCAATCAGATTTCTCCCAGCCTTCTTTGTGTTCCACCGGATAACAGTTGAACCCCACTTAATTTTTTTCTAATGGTTCAGATTCTGCACAATCTCCTCACGAGGTTCTGCAAAAATAATTTAGACGTTCTTTCCCTGTAAACTTATTTATTTGCTATCTGGACCTTATTACTTGCTTGTTCATCAGATCAGATGTGATAAATGATAACATGTTGATAAGAGCACGGGTATAGAAGTCCACATTGTAACTATTTGGGTGACTTGTGCAGATGCTTAAGCTAGAAGAACAACAATATCTAGGTGAGGCAACCTGTGCATTATCTGAGGTAAAGTAGAGACTGTTTTGTTGATTGATGTCTGACAACTAAAAGAAAATTCATTACACACTCAATGAAGCTATATTTTTTACAACTAATCTCTATCCCGCACTATACTGCTTTTCTCGGTGGTTAATTGGTAAGTACTAAACATATTGAAAAATTTTTAATCCAAGAAATATATATTCAAATTACGCTGTCCTATCCATTTCTGAAAATAAAATAGCATCCCAACAGATGTACCTATCCACAGTTACAAATTTGGCCTGTGCAGATAATTACAAAGCTTGATCGATCGGTGACATTAGATTTACACAGAGAAGATTCTATCAGATCTACCCAGTCCCAAAACTGTGGAAAGCTCTTGGTGCATGCTGAGGAAAGTGTTAGCTCAAAGACTACAATAGAGATGATACTCAGGTGTTCAGATTTGGAGTATAGGGATCTCTTCTCAAAAAGTGTATGTTGCCTCCTCCCCTCCCTTTCTGTTAGCCATTTCCAAGGAACACCAATTATTATATATGACACGCTTTTGTTTGCCATGCAGGATCCCTTTCTATTGGTATCAAAAGTTGTGGAAGGTGGTAACCATATTCCAATTTGCAAAACAGAAGTTATAAAGAATGATCACAACCCAATATGGAAGCCAGTGTTCTTAAATATTCAACAAGTAGGAAGCAAGGTATAAAACCAACATACGGTGATGTTTTGTCTGTTGAAATATAGGGAGTATATGGAATAGAGAAAAAGGAGACTCATTTACCAAGTATTAGTGCTGTAAACAAATGTGATATAAAAACACTCAATTCCCAAAGACAAGGCAGAACCAATGGAAAAGAAAAACTCTGCAAGATAGAAGAACTTAGTTGACTATCATAAGAACATGGGGAGGAATCTGAAAAACCAGTCAGGAAAATCACAATTCTAAACTGCAAACAAGAAAATTTTGAGTTCTAGATAAGAACCTTGGGAGAACCACACCAAAAGCTAGCCATTGTTGTGGTTGGTGAGTCCCAGGCCTAACCCCATGCTAGAATCCCATATTTCTAATCTGAGACTCAATTGGATCCTGGCAGTTCTATTTTTCTGAAAACTCCATGGTATTCAACCATGGGCAGGGGTTAGAATACCATTTTGAAATATAAGGGTTAGATGGAAAAGAGAAAATAAATCAGAGATCTGGTTACTAATGCGACTCTAAGTAATATTATTGTTATTATGAAAAGCACTGACCTAATAGGCTAGTACTACTATTTATACCAATATTTTATATCGTACACAAGTTTAATATAAATTGTACAACCCGATAATGCTCCTAACGTACTAAGGGTGGTCCAATGCATGGATGTCCACCACTATAGGGTCTGGGATGATAGATCTACACAGCCTTATTGTGTAAGGGGAGAGATTTCTGTGATTAAAGTGACCACCAAGTCAGAGTGCGTTGCTGCAAGGGTCATTATGTTTTTTATTGTTACCATAAGGAAATTTGCCTATACTTTATTACATCGTTTTATCTTCCCTTTTGGGATACTTTTTTGAACAAAGCTAGACATGTTGATATCGTGGAAGCTATTCAATTTTCCTTTCTATTGTATACAGGAAAGTCCTTTGATAATAGAGTGCTACAACTTTAATAGCAATGGCAAACATGATTTGATGGGGTAATCAGCAGTTACTTTTTTCAGCTGTTTGTCCTATTGCCCCTTAGCAATTTATAGGATTAAATGCATATTAGGGTTGTTTATTCTTTTTTTATCAGAAAAGTGCAGAAATCTTTGGTGGAGTTGGAGAAGCTTTATTCTGTTGGCCAAGGAGAAAACTTTTTTTCGTCTGCCGCTGCGGGTCATAATTCTCAAAACAAGGTTTTATTATATTAAAATAAGTTGATTTCAATCAAAATTCCTCTATATTTTCCTAAAAGCATGTTTAACAATAATGCAGATGTTAAAGAGCCGGTTATTTGTGGATAAATTTGCTGAAAGTGTCCAATATACTTTCTTGGATTACTTGACTGGGGGATATGAGTTGAACTTTATGGTGGCCATTGATTTTACAGGTATATCACATCTATCTTCAGTTGTGCCTAATAAATTATTTTCTAGATTGCAACAAGTGTCTTCATCATTGTTCTGTGTATATAATTATACTAGTATTTTAGCCTGTGTAATATATAAGTTAAATATTTATTATATGAAACTAAAAATTATAATAAATTATATGCAGGAATAAATTTATGTTTGAATGTATAAATTATATTTAAAATTTGTATAAATAGATATATATATTTTTATTTATAAACATGGTACACACAGTATTCAAAAGTTGACAACCAATAACTAATTTATTCTTATGGAACATGGTTTCTACTAATATTATAACAAAGACAGAAGAAGAACTTGGGACCACTTAAATAAATACTTTTAAACTTATAAATTATATTTTAGATTTATAATAAATAATTTATATTGTAGTATAATATATTTTTTATTTATTGATAATTTATTTTAAAAATATTAAAAGTTGATTCATAAATAATTATGATAACTAAAAACTGAATTAGATAGAAGTTAAGAAATCTCTAAAAACTCTTTCATCAAAGAAAAGTCTTCAAAAACATCCTCGTGCAACATAAAGGTTCCTATTTAATATATAGGAGTTAATATACTCATAAATTAATCAAGTGATGGATAATAATATATTTGTTTATTGTATTTGTAACATTGAATTTTTTTTTAATTTTTTTTTAACTTTTTAGTTGTTTCAGTCTTAGAATATGTTTATTTTTATTTGAAAATTGCATATTCTATTCCTATTTTAGATTTGGAATTTTTGAGTTTAGGTTGCGTTCGGTAAAATTTTAGTTGAGTCTCCTATGTATCTTGTGTAGGATTTCAGTCTTGTCACTTGAATTTATCCATACGTGGAGTGTTTTTCAATATTTTCTTGGTTTTCCTTTTCTTTTATATATAACTTAGATTCTCTTTGTCTACCAGCTTCGAATGGAAATCCACGCCTTCCAGATTCTTTGCATTATATTGATCCTTCGGGACGGCCAAATGCATACCAGAGGGTGAGAAATGATTCTTGGTTTGCAATTTCACAACTTGATTTGTTACTGATCTATGTTGTATGAATATTTATTTCCAGGCAATAATAGAGGTTGGGGAGGTGTTACAGTATTATGATTCAGACAAACGATTTCCTACGTGGGGATTTGGAGCACGACCAATTGATGGTCCTGTCTCCCATTGTTTCAACTTGAATGGAAGCAGCCATTACTGTGAGGTAGAAATGCTAAATCTGATCATGCTTCTATTTTCATATTGAAATAGTTGTTCAATAAAATATAATTTTCTGTCCTTTTGCAGGTGGAAGGCATTCAAGGAATTATGATGGCATACACAAGTGCCCTGCTTAACGTTTCTCTTGCAGGACCAACTCTTTTTGGACCTGTCATAAGCAACGCTGCACTGATTGCCAGCCAATCTGTAGCAAATGGAGGAAGAAAGTACTTTGTTTTGTTAATCATCACGGTAAGAGTTAGAATATGCAGTTTTCAGTACTATTGCTTTCTTATCTCTGAAAGTATATTAGTTTAAGTGAGAAAGGGTGCATTTACTCATGATTTAAAGTGGATTAAGTTCACGAGGTACTTAACCATATTTGGAAAGCTTAAATATTGGATTGGGAATGTTGATTCCATTTTAACCCATTCCATTTGAATCCTAATTTTGTAAAATCATCATTCTGTGTACCAAATATGACTAGTGCTTCTCTTGTTTTTCTTTTATGTTTTCATCATGACTTTGTTTGTATTGTATCCATGTTATGCATAACTGAGGCATAGCAATATATTTGCGTTCCACACTAAAAAGAAAATCATCCATCCTGCCTCCTGAAAACACTGGAAGTTTTTGCATCACATTGTCTTTTTCGACTGCGGCGCTGAAATTTATTTGATATCCTTTTAGGATGGAGTAGTGACAGATCTCCAAGAAACCAAAGATGCTCTCGTTAAAGCATCTGATCTACCGTTATCAATCCTTATTGTTGGCGTAGGAGGAGCAGATTTCAAAGAAATGGAGGTATTTAGTTTAACGTGTTGCACTTTACACAATAAATCATAATTATTTGGCATCGCGTGATATAGTCAATTTCACACCACCGCAGGGCTTTATGAAGTTTTTTTTGTTCAATTTCACAGGTTTTGGATGCAGACAAAGGAGAGAGGCTTGAAAGTTCATCTGGTCGCGTTGCTTCGCGTGATATAGTCCAGTTTGTTCCATTTCGTGACGTGCAAAGTAGGTATTAGTTTGCAAATCATGACTTTTTGTCAAATGACTTCTCACTTAACAATCTCTTTTAAACTTATTCCTCTGGCAGGTGGAGAAATTTCAGTAGTTCAAGCACTTCTAGCTGAATTACCTACTCAATTTTTAACTTACACGCGGAGCAGAAATATCCAACCTAGTCTCTAGTCATGTAAAGAGTGTACATTTCAAAATGTTCCATTCATTGATATTGTGCAATTTTCTTGCCCCTTTCATTTTCGATATCTTAAACAGAAAAGGAAAAAAAAAAAAAAAGAAAGAAAAAGAGAGAGAGAGAGAGATAGAGAGAGAGGCTTAAGGGATGAGAACTCATGGTTTGTACCAAATGTTTATTAACGGGTCAAGATGAGTTCGTCAGTGTCCGATCAAGCCTTTTCTTCTGATGTTTTTAGACTTTTCATTTTCTAGTTGGTTCGGCCCCAAAAAGAGAAAGTCTATTCTTCATTTTATGTTTTCAAGTTTCGACATATTAAATATATTTATTTTTAATACTTCATAAAATATTCTTTATCGAGTTAGACATTTCTTATTTTATTTTTTAATGCATGTGGATTCATTAGCATTTACTATTTTTATTTTATCTATTGATGATTATTTTCATATTTTTAATTTTTTTACTGTTAAATGAGGCACTTATTCTTTTGTTAATTTATTTTAACAAATTGTTTATTTTTAAAATTGTAAATATTTTTAATTTGTATTTCAAAAAATTACTTAAAACTGTAAAATCACCCACTAAATTTGAATGGAGAGCGTTTTTAGCGGTTTCTTTTCTAAGAGTCTAAGAGAGCGTTATTATAAATTTTATTTATATATTGAACAGACTAAAATTGTGAGGATGCATGCTGCTCTTTTAGCTGAGAGATCAAAATATTTAGTCAAGGGTCATTACGAATTGTTACCGTTGTCACATTTCTTTTGATACTTCCTTTACATTTTTCATTTTTTGCCTAGTACTTTTTACCTCCCACTCGCTTTGCTAAAGGTGGCAAAATGAGTAGAGCTAGCTGACTCAAACTGATCTTATTATATGATGAAACGTGACTTTAAATTTTTAGCAAAAGTTAAAATTTGGGCATCAATAATTTAATCCAATCATATCTTCATTCGAGTTTAGCTCGCAAAATCATGTACAAAACTAGGCTTTTATTGAACTAAGGCCTCATTTTAAAACTCAAAATTGAATTATTATTTATTTATTTTGCTTTAATCGCTATAGCTTCTAACTTGCATCAAACTTTTGTTCAACCTAGTTCAAACATGCATGACAAAATGTATGATTTAGATTTAAACCTAAGCATGAATTAAGTTGGTATCTTTTTTAATTTGATTTGATCATGCTTAATTTTAGGATTGGTCTCCAAAAGTCCATACAAATTAAGATTTTATTGGACATCTCATTTTATAAGTTTGAATTAAATTTGGATTTATGATCAACTTGTATTAAGTTTGTGTTTGACCGGACTTAAACCCGCTCGATAAAGCATCGGCTGTGTCTAAAATTTTGAATACGAATTAAATTTATTATGTTTTAGTTTGATTAAGATTTAGTCCGTAAAATCCTATGAAAAATAATGTTTTCTTCAAACAAAAAATCTAAATTTTATTTGAAACTTTGTATCTCGACCTAGCCGTCTATGATTTTTTTTTTACTTATAACAATAATTACAATTATCATTAATAATATTTTATAAATATTAAATGCACTAAAATAATTAATTTTAGTATAATTTAATACTTCTAATACGACAATTTTTTGGTTGTTGTCAGTACTTTGTTCACTAACTTTAATTTAGGATGAAAAAAGTTATTATATTATCTCTATTCTTATAAATAAGACTTAAATATTTAATTCATCAATATTAAAAAAATTTAATTTAATTGATAATAATAAATATATTTTATTTATATATTCCTTTCGTTCCTATAATATGTTAGATTCTAAGTAAAATTTTGTTTCTATTTACTTGTCATTTTCAAAGTTTAAGACAACATTAATTATTATGTTATCAATTATACTCTTATATTTCACCTAACCTTTAATTGATCTACAAATGACAACTAATATGCATTTATTATGAAACAAAAATGAAATAAGATATAATAAAAAATATTAAAATCATTCTAAAAAATAAATTTTTTATTATGTTTCTTAATTTATGTAAAATAACCTTAAACGAGTATCATAAAGGAATGTGATATCATTTTTATTCTAAAACTATCTTTATATCGATCCTCTTCCTTGTTTAATATTTATATACTTTTTAATTAATTAGAATGTATGTCTTATAGTATATTTTTTTTCTCGATTAATACTCATTTTTTTCTTAATTAATTAAAATAAATACTCTTTTAAGAGTTTCTAATTAATACATTTTACCAACATAAAAGAATACACTTTAATTAAGAATATTTTAGTCTAAAATTTTTTACATATAAAATAATATAAATTAAGTATTATGTATAAAAAAAATAAATAATCATGTATATATGTTGACGAAGATAGGAGCGACTTCCACGGCCTTCTAGATGTTCTTAGAAGTTTGCAAATTTTTTATCAAAATAATATTATTTATAAAAAAATTACCCAAATAGAAACTGTACGAATTTATTTACCAAACTAGCATTGTTTACTGTTCACGTTCAGAACGGACCGTTCCAGATGAAAAAATAACACATGATGAATGAATCAAAACTGCCCGTTCCGGATTCAGAACAGGCCATTCCGGATTCAAATTAACACATGATTAGTGAAACTAAAACGAGTCATTCTGAATACGAAATGGGCCATTCTAGCTACTTTTGATGGGCCGACATATGGAACAATAGACGTGAACATATATTGATGGGTCATTCAATGCAAGGCCCATTGTTTCAAACACGATAATACATGGAATGGTACATAGCCAATTCCATCTATTTCCTATCTGTGTCAAGACTACTACAAGATCCAAGGACCCATCAACAATGAAGGACTTCCACAATATTTGAAACTAGTGCAACTTTCACACAAGAAAACATAATTGACAGAAGACATTCGTTTGCAACAACTTCAGAGGATTTTTTTACAAATTTATTTGGAGTAGATTTTAGAACTCCATCTTCAACACATTCATACATGCAATCTCTTTACCAACCGACATTCGTTAATGAACCTGGTAGTTCTTCAACATCTTTTCAACAACCAGTGCTTGATGATGAACCAAATCCTTATGAGCAACAACCTCCACGACGTAATCCAGGCCGTAATAGACGTCGCCCTCATTGTGGAACTGGACACCATTACGAATATTAAAAAACTTATATAATTCACTCTATCTTAATGTTATCATTTTTTACTTTTAATGCAATATGTCTCTTTATCAATGTAATATGAATTTTAATGTTATGCATTTTTTACTTTTAATGCACTATGTCGCTTATAAACTATTATAATTATATATTATTTGGACATGTCTTTCTAGTGTGATGTGCAGGTTATATAGGCTTGTCATTATTAGCCAATAATCCTCATGTCGGAGCTTGCATTGTAGTAGTCGTGGCACAGATAGGAAATATATGGAATTGGCCATGTACCATTCCATGTATTCTTGTGTGTGAAATAATGGGTCTTGCATTGGATGACCCATCAATATGTGTTCACGTCTATTGTTCCATATGTCGGCCCATTAGAAGTGGCTAGAACGACTCATTCCAGATTCAGAACGTCCCGTTCTAATTTGACTGATCATGTGTTAATTTTGAATCCGAAACGGGTCATTCTGATTCATTCGTCATGTGTTATTTTTGCATCTGGAACGGTCCGTTCTGAACGTAAATAGTAAATAGTGCTAGTTTGGTAAATAAATTCGCACAGTTTCTATTTAGGTAATTTTTTTAAAATAATATTATTTCAGTAAAAAAATTTGAAGTTCGCCTCATCATATTTATGAGTTGTAGGGGGTTGACAAGTTAGAAGTTATCTTAGCTTAGGCCTTTTTGTTTTCTTCTCATTACACAAAAAGAATTTTTATTTGACAAAAGAATTTATAAAAAAATTAATTTCTTATCTAATTCAGTTTATATTTATCATATTATTTATAAATTAAATATTAATATTTTAAAATAAATTATTAATGAATAAAAATATTTTTATACTATAATATAAATTCTTCATCATAAATCTAAAATATAATTTATATATTTAAAAATATTTATTTATATAAATTTTAAATATAATTTATATATTTAAATATAGTATATAAATTTTAATTATATATAATAAACATGTTTGGACATTTGATAGACTAAAATACTAGTGATTATTACAATGTGAATTCTTTAATATTAATATAAATTTTTAAGATTAACTCTCTTTTAAAAAAATTAACCATTAAGATTCAAATTAAAAAAGTGATTTCCTTTTTTAAAAATTTGGTCAAATATGTTATCAATAAAAAAAATTGCATTAATTTGATATGTATAGAAAATAATCAAACCTAAAGGAATTAAATTCTTTATAAGAACTAAAAGAATTAATGTTTAATTGAATGGATAATCTATTATTATCATTGTTCATAAGATTTTTTTTATGGATATTATATCTTTTATGATGTACATGATAAAAAATAAATCATGAACTCACATTATCATTCTCTCTTCAAAATTTAGAAGGAACAAAAATATTACTTATGAATCATTTGGATGTGTATTATTATATAGTATAAAGGGTACGGAAATCCTATTTATAAATAGCATGTATCACCATCTACAAATGTTAAGACCTTGGTTACTTTTTATTAATATCCTTTGCAAGTAGTATAAATATAAAGTTATTAAAGTTATCAAAAAAATATAAGTACTTAGGTATTATTTTCCCCTAATAGTATCATTACCCATAATAATACTAAATTTTTTATCATATATCATTTATAAAATATTTTTTTTCTATCATAGATAATAAATTAAATACAAATCTAAATTGTAATATTTTCATACCACATCGTGCTCTTTATCCACAAGGTCTCAATACATCCTTTCATTATTAATTTATCCATACCATCCACTTTCATTCAACAATTCTCCAAACACACCCTTATATTCATAACCCATATTAGGAAATGAATGGTCCATATATTTTTTTTAGGCCTTTCATCCATGTCCAAGTATAACACAGGATTTCATCCAATATTTTTTCTCTATCAAACATCTCTCTTTTAAATATAAAATTATTCCTATGTAGCCACAAACATTGTATAACTCTTCATCTATTAATGCATACTTTCAAACTTGACTTTAGCATATGTTACCATAAGTGAGATTTGCGACAATGTGGCAGTACAATTTTTTCATTCAACTAAGAGTAACAAATCATCCACATTTTAGAGGCTTTCTCAGAGAAAAAGATATGTGAAATTATTTCTTCTTTATCTTGACAAAAAGGGTAAAGTGTTTCAGTAACATCCAAATTAATTCCTCTTCTTGTTAAATTAATTCCTAGTGAGCAATATGTTGAGGAATATTCTTTAGATAAAAATGCCACCTTTTGGAGGGATTTTTAAGGTCCACACTAATTTTAATAAAATTGATCCTCCTAACTCTTCATAGCTTCTTCATGTAGTGTCTTATAAAATAAACTCACGTTAAATGTACCATCAAAATTCTCCAACCAAATCTATACATCTTTCATTTCCCTTTTGTAAGCTTATCCTTACTAATTTTTGTAGCATACTTTGCAATATATTTTCCTCCCAATCAAACCATCTTCTCCAATTTAAATCCCACACCCAAATCTAGGATACATTGCTGCCAAATTCTCTTCCTCCAACTATTTATCTATCCAAAATTTAGTCTTATCTTCTCTTCCCACTTTTTAAACCATCATTTTATCATACCATTTTGATTCATTGAGCACCCCACAAACAGTTCTTAAATCTCTTCATTAAATTGATTTAGTTTTATCTTTTTCTTCTCTCATTATAACCCTCTCGGCCAACTATTATATTTTGACTCCATTATTTTCCTCCAAAAAATATTCATACTTATGCATTTGCCATCTCCATTTTGCTAGAAGTGTCATGTTAAAAAACTAATTTTTTTACTCTTAGACCTTGACTTTTTGGATAAAAAACCTTATCCCAACTTACCCACTTAACTTTATTTCTCATCTCCTTAACTTGATGTAATTACGTTGAAAGACAGACGCCATGAATGAATGTCTAAACATGTATCACATTTAATTTCTATGTCTAAATAACTTGTTTTAATCTTAATTCTATGTAATAAAATTCAAAGAATTTATATGCTTATATGTGAGAGTAAAAAAAAATATATGAACTCTTAAATTTTATATGAATAATTAAGATTAAAATAAATAAGTTATATTAATTTTTAAAAAATACATAACTCTAAAGTAGTCATGACATAGATTATATCACCCATTCATAATTATTTGGTCTGGAATTACTCTTTCTATATACTAAAAAATGTATCTTTCACGATATATAGATGTCACCTACCTCAGTACCTCTATATGTATTTAAAGTAAACGTACAAAAATAAAGAAAGAAAAGGAAGAAGAATACTGGAAAACTGAAGACTTTTTTGTTACCCTGCCTTTTCATCTACAAAATTCGTTGACAAATGCCAAACCCTAGCTTCTTCGCCACTTCTCATCTTAGCTCCAATATTTTTCCTTCCTTTCCCTAATCGCCTTTACGTTCGATCGACCTAAACACAATACTGCTATTTAGTTAGATACAATCACCTTGCGTTGTTTATACTCATTAGAATCATTATAGGAAGACGAAGTGAAGAGTTGTTTCACTAAATATAGGTTTGACGTGAGTTGGTAAAGTGGACCGAAGACATGGAAAGAGGGCACTTCCTTTGGAAGAAGAAACGGAAGAGAAACCGTTTCCCATTTATTCGAATCGGTCCCAGCAAGACATGTCGGCTGTGGTATCGGCACTTGTTCAAGTCCTTGGTGGAAATCCAGTGCATCAAGAACCACTAACAGTTTCTCAGTCCAGTGTTGTTGGGAATCAACATCAACAATCACAACCACCCCAACATCAAGGTATTTCCTCGTGCTATTACAAATTTATGCTACCTTCTTTCCTCATATATAGATTAATATATTTGACGGGTAATAAAAGGACCATGTAGAATATTAATTGGGAAGAAAAATGTTATCGATAAATTTTCTATAACACACTTGTTTTAAAACACTTATTTTCATAGATTAAAATTTATTAAAAATTACAAAATCAAGAAATAAAACTTAAATAACGTATGAGTTTCACTAAATTTTTTGTTTTTTTTAATAAATTTTGACTAATTAAAAAGAATCTATTCCAGAAAGTGTGTTGTTAATATTTCTCTAATTGAAAATTAGGCAATTTAGGGTTGATGACTTGATGCACAACCAACTGATCTCTTGATGTTGTATTCTTTTATATGATCTTTCCCATCGATCCTGGTCAAACCTGAGAATGATATTTCATGTTACATTAATTGTGTAGCTTGAGAAATCTTTAGGGTTTCTTAATTTGTTTCATACATGAATTTTGTTTGCTTACGTTAAAAAGTGTTGTTTGATCATTGTTTTCTCGATGTTGTTTTTCCCATGCACTTTTATAGTATTGGATACAAAAATGTATAGTTTTTGTTATTTTTTTTACACACCTCTCTTTATATATACCCTTCTTAATTATATCCAATAAAATGCAAATGATATATATGAATAAGAAAGAGAAAGGAAAATAAAGGAAATGAAATTAAATAATTGGATTATTTTATGTAAAGGAGACTCATGTAATGCAAGTGTAAAAGTGTTAAAATGAAAATTATTGGAGTTATTTTAAATTTCACAATGCTATTAATATAGACACCGCAGTTCTCTAAAATCATCTTTTACCCACACTTTTTCATTTTTGAGGAAAAAAATGATGAAAAATTGATCATCCCTTAACGTCTTCTTCTTTTTCTTTCTTCAAATTAAATTTGATACAACATATACACTTATTATGTGTTTGGTATATGCATACTGTAGGATAGTACAAGTATAAGTAGATGAGTCACAGTATTTTGTTTTACTTATACTTTGGTAGTCAATGCACAAATACAAAATTTATTGTGTTATATATGTAGTGTTTGACGTGTTTATGTGCTACAAAAAGTAAATGAAATATAATGTTATATATATATATATATATGTATAATATTAGATAGATTAAATTACACTACTGTAACTTTTATAATTATTACATCGTTCAATAATTTCATATAAAAAATAAATTTTATCTATCCAATCATTGAATTACAACTTTATAATATCTTAAATGTGTATGACGAGTTTTGTTAAAATTGAATAACAATAAGAAGACAATTAAATTGTTCATATCTTAGTATATTTTGAAATGTATATATTACTTTGATTTTGATTTATATAAATGCAGTATCAAACAATTTTTGATTAATATACAATTTTATATATATGATGTACTAGACATATATATATATATATATATATATTATTTTGTCACATAATAGCATAATATACAGTATATGTTACGTGTAATATATATTAATTCTTGCTAATAAAATACATAATATATTGTACATTAAAATAAAAGATTAGAGTGAATGAAGTTTGGACAGATGTTATTAGTGCGAACAAAACTATGCAACAATTACAAGTTTTAGAACGTAGCATTTGAAATTGTCGTCGCATGTAATTATCAACGTGGGAGGTAAAAGAGAGTAGGTAAGGGTAATTCATTTTTGTATAGTTGTGGTACAAGACAAAAGGTTGTTCCATGTTTTTGTGAGTAACAAAAATCAATAATTATTTTGTTACGCGATCCTTATTTTTGTAAAAAAAAAGCTTACCTTAGCATGAGACATGGCTAAACAATCTAATACACAAATTCTTAAAATCCCCCAAAACTGATGATATAAAAAAGGCTTACACAATCTAAACAAATTGAAATCAGTCCATCCTGGAGACAAGAGAAGCAGGTGCCTGAATTAGGCGTAGAGAAGCTGTAAAAAGATTATAATTATAAAAAAATATTATTAAGAAAATAGAATGTTTGAATTGACATCTCCTATTTTAGAGTCCTTTTTATATTCTTTATAAAATATGGAATGAGAATATAAATAATTAAGTGGTGAAAAAGAGAGATAGAATGATGGAAGTAAAAGGAAAGAGTTTGTATATGATGAAAATTGTTTGTGAAGGAAACCTAAGAAGACATTATAGAGGAGTGAGACAGCGACCATGGGGGAAGTGGGCCGCAGAAATTCGCGACCCAAATAAAGCAAGACGTGTTTGGCTGGGAACCTTTGACACCGTCGAGGCTGCCGCACATGCTTACGATGAAGCTGCTCTCAGATTCAAAGGATCCAAAGCTAAGCTTAATTTTCCAGAAAGGGTCTCAGTCTCAGGGGACTCTCCTTACCTCACTATGCAATCCCAATCCGCACCTTCTTCTTCCAATTCTTCTTCTTTCCATGCCAAACCCAAACGTTGAGCCAACCCTTATATATATCATGTTCATGTACGACAAACTCAAAGAAAAAGGAGGTTTGAACGCTGAGGCTGGAACATTTGGAAAGATACGGCGAAAAGCGCGTGAGAATCTAATAATGTTGCCTTCCACCAGTTAATAATCTGGTCATCATTTACCGCTATATTGTGATTGTCACCACACACGGATGATTTATGTAATTAAAGGGAATTGGCCCCTAACTTTTTATTTATTTATTTATTTATTTATTTATTTATTTTTATATCATATATTAATATTAAAAGAATTTTTATATTTTATAGTAAATTAATTCATGACAAGTGTCATTTTTCCTTTTTTATTTTATAATAAACTGTTTTATTCTCTTTTTATAATTTTATTGTAAATATAGATGAAAAAAAACTACACATTGATTATATAAGTAATTTTACATTGTTATCTGTAATGGTTTGATTATTATATTTAAAGGTTCAACTATTTTGCACCGATAATTAATTACCTGAAGTTCATATATATAATTTTTGAAAAACAGTAATAATATATACATACATGCAATAAATTTTTTCAACTACAAGTGAATTAAAGGTATATATGTATATATACAATAATTCAAAATCATAATATATAAGTCTAGGTTGTTAGTTAAACAACTTAACAAAATTTATATAAAAGTAATTTCCAGCTACGTTGTCATTCAATTGCATGGCTCTCCTTACTTGACTCCTCATGTTTATCCCTGTCCTGTCTCATGGAAATATGATCATTAATTGCAATCTCACCATCAAGAAAACATATAAAAGTAAGATAGAGTATAAAAGAATACAACAAAAAAATAAGTATAAACAAAAAATAAGTATAAAAGTAACACAACTATATTATTCACACCAATGTACTAAAACTCCCTAACATCTAAAATCTCTTTAGAAAATTTTATATTACATGATTATCAAATCTTAAAATATATTTATTTTTAAATCATTTATTATTATTATTTTCTAGAGAATTATATAATTCATTCTAATTTAATATACTTTATAAAAATAATTAGTAGAATGTTTTCCTAAAAGTTTAGGAACATAATACTAATTTTTATAATAAAAAATAAATTTATTTTCCTTTATATATATATATATATCAACAAATTATTAATGTAATTAATAATTTAGATATTGTATGAGAAAAATAATTGATAAGTATATATTTTTCAAAAGAATAAGCCCCCTTATATTTAATTTTGAAAGTTGTTGTTATTATTATTATTTTCGTAATCATCAGCACTATGTTAACTGTTAACATGATTAATAAAAGTTTATTAAGATAACTAATATAGTATTAAAAAAAAGTATTATAATAAATTTAATGTTATTTTATTTATATTTTTAATTGATCAAAAAGTTTTTTTTGAAGCAACTTAAACGTATGTGTTTAAGTCGTTTGCTTTGTATTTTATTTTAAGTTAAAGACATTTTTTTTTATTTCAAGAGTAAGTTTATCTAGTTTTTTTTTTGATAAGCCAAGAATTTATTAATCCCAAGAAAATTGTGTACAAGAAGTGCAAGTCATAATTAAAAACAAGAAGACCCAAAAATAAGAAAAAACAAATTTAAGGGACACTTGCACAGGACAAGGGGTTCATCAACCATTCTGGAAAAGAAGAAGACATCATTCTAGCAGTCGTACACCACTCTCACGATCGCAACTGAGCCATGAACACGATCTCTTCCACCTTAAAGAGCTTGCCTTTGAAAATGTTCTCATTTCGAGCCTTCCATAACTGCCATATACCTGCAAACCAAACAAAGGACCAAACTCGCTTAATACCCTTACTGCCACTCACCAATTCCATATATTGATGACAAAAATCCCTAAGTTCGTTGATAAGCACTCCTAACACTCCCCACAAAGCGTATAATTTGACCCAAACAGCATAAGCCTTTGGACACAAAAGGAACAAATGTTTGTTGGACGAGTAAGTTTATCTAGTTAAATTTATTATTTTGTTTGATAACTTATGTTTTACGATAAATTTCAATGATTAAACAGTTAAATTTAAATTTTTTAATGCATAAATCAAGCCTGTAAATTTTTTAAAAATTTAAAAATCATTTGATACTTCGATTTATCAATTAAAATTGATAGATAATCATAAAATCATTTTATACGTTGATTTGAATTAATGAAATGAAGTATCAAATAGTTTTTAATTTTTTAAAAAATTTACCAACTTGATCTATGATATAAGAACTTTAAATTCAATAATTGAATATTAAAATTTGAAATAGAACTAAAACATGAGTTATTAAACGCAATAAATTTAAATAGACTTATTTCTAAAATAAACGAATTCTTCCTCTTTTATAAATCTCCAAAATATTTATACCAACTTCGCAAACAACCACAAATAATGAGTCAACTTTTCAAAAAGTAGTTTGTGTGAATCAAACCGTTGTTTGGTCAAAATGATTGAAGACGACTCATGTATGTTATCAGTCCCTCTTATAATTAACTAGTAGGAAAAAGGTACTCCGTGCCTATATTTTATTAAAAAAATAAAAAAAAATAAAAAAATGAGAAATTATTCATAAAAAAGTAGTTATTAAAAATAAATAAAGGATAAAATAGTCCATATAAAAATAAAAATTAAAAATAATTATTAAAAGTGAAATCCCTTTATATATTATTAGTATAAATTCATTAGTTTCAAGATTTTAAATTTGATTAAAAATATTTTTTTTAATTTTTTAAAATAAAAAGGTATAATGGTCCAAAAAAGTGGAGACCAAGGTGGTTACGAAAAAGTGTATCCCTTTTATATATTAGTATAGATTTTATCATTTTATTTACAAATGATAATTTAATAAGTATGTTTTATTAGTATAAACGTTTTACCTTCTTAATTAATTAGAAATCAATTTTTATGTGATTAAATGCAAAGAAAAACTTTACAATATCATCGCATATACTTTTTCTCTATAAATAAATATTATAATAGTACAAAAAAAATTATGTGAATAATAATTTTAAATTTCTATAATAATTTTCTTTAAAGTCATACTAAATATGATTTTTATTAGTTGATAACATAAATATTTTTATATCCCATATATTTACTAAACTCTAATTATAAATAAAATCATATCAATTAAATATTAAAAAAAATACACGATTTCCATAGAGAAACGATTTCCATCAACTTGGCTATCAGTAGTTTAGTCAAATGAATTTGTCAGAGAACATTTGTAATGTATGTGAAGACTTTGATAGCAATTTCAATATTTAATTTTATACATATCGATCTCTTACTGAGAATTCCTCAAAGAGATAAGACCGTGCATGTATGATGTATCCTCCTTTTGTTGACTGTGGAATGAGTCTTCCTTCCTTTCAGAAGAGCTTTTCTTTGTTCTGGAAACATACACCATTTTATTCCACATAGCTATTATCCAGATTCAAATTATGAAGTAACTGATATGTATAGCGGCTAGACTGATTTTAACTCAATAAGAAGTTTTTATGATGTGAATTTACGAATAAGTTTTACTATCGAATAGTTGATAATTTAGGCATCGTTCATGATGGTCGTAAGTTTTCAGATTTTAAATTTAAAACTGAAAATAAAATTTGTTTGGATAAAAGAAGTAATTTTATACCATTATCTGATAAGATATTGGTTTTTATAATAAATAAATAAAAAGTATAATGATATATGTAATTAATTAAGAAGTGCAACACAAGGCAATATAATCCCAACAAAACTTATTTATTTGAATGATTTGTGAGTACTTTAGCAACAACTTAGTCGTGAATATATAATTAATGTGCATTTCAAACAGGGTTTTGCCAAACTCTACATGTTATACATTCTGATTTTGATTACTTTCTCCCTTTGGCTGCCGAAACTTTCGAAATTGGATACCAAATGAAGTGAACATAATATGTATTTGGAAAACAATAATAAGATTGAGGAATCCTCTTACTTGCAGCATGTAAGTTACGGTAGACCAAGTCAGTGGTCTAGGTGAAACAAGTTGAGGTCTTAAGTTGAACTGAATTTGGAATCACCTTATTCATTCAAATCAAGGATGTTATATGTTCCTCTAATGTCAAACTTTGCGGCCACCAACCCTATATCTACAACTGCACAATTCATACCAATTTTCAACTTCCTCCATTAATCATCATCGTTGACAACTTTTTCTGTTTTTCATAAATATCATAATTGATTGATTTATAATTTTCTATTAATTCCTTCAGCAACTAAAATTTATTTAATTAATGAGTCGAGATAGCTAAAAAAATGTTTTTTCATGTATATGATGGATGATTATTATGTCTCATATGATTGACATGTGGCATATAAAGAGATCAATGAGTAAATAATTAAAAATTAAATTATAAATAAGTTTAATGAACATATTTTTTTAGTATAATTGTTATTTGATATGAGGAATAATTTTAAAGAGTTATAAATACCCACTAATTTGAAACAAGGCCTTCTCTAATAGACAAATATTCTTTTAAACCCTAACCATCATAAAGAATAGAAGGAAGAGTTAATGAAAGGGATTGAAATCTTTATTTCTCTCTTCACTTAGGAAGATCAAATTGTAGTAACTTAAAATAAGATTCTCTTTGATAGAAAAATATTCTCTCAAATCTTAGTCATCATGTAAGATAGAGAATAGAAGAAAGAGTTAAAAAGAGTGAAACCTTTATTGCTCACGAAAATCAAATTATTCTAAGGTTCAAGATATTTTTGTTATAGAGAAAATGTATTATTTCTTTATTATGTGAGAATAATAAATTTCAAAAATCCTTTTAGTTCTCTACCATTATTAGTCTTAGAAAACTATGGATTTATATGTGGTATCAAAATATATATTGCAAAATTATATGATTCGTAATGAATGATAATTTTTATTCTAATTATATATAAATCCTAATTATGAAATTTAGGGATTTTGTTTTTTCTTTCCCTGAAAGTATGCACATGATAATGAACTTTCAAAATTTGAAAATTTTCAAAATGGCTTTAGAATCAGATTTTAGAAAATTGCATATTCATGCATTAATGGATTAGATGGTATATGCATCGCGGTTTTTAATTAATGATGCTTTTATTTATTTATTTTGGAATCCGTTAATGTATTGTAAAAAAGTTGTAATTCAAGCGTGAATGGATTAATGGATCACCCATATCGTGCATCATGAATTTTAAATAATAGATTTTGCTTTGGATCAAAGTTTGTATAAATCCCTGTACGTTAATTTTCTATAAAAGTCTTAATTTCGGAATTAGAAAATGGGAAAATACTTGGTATATTTTATGGGAAAAGTTTTATATAATCTTGTGTTTGTTGAACGTGATTGAAAATAAATAATTTGATTTTTTTGGTATAATAAGAATTATGAATGACGGTACTGTGAATTTGAATGGCTGGTAGTTGTAAATATGTGTATGATGATTTGGAATTAACTGTAACATAAATTTGTAGTGATTAAAGTAGTTAAATTTCTAAAGTTTATTTAGTTTTAAACTAAAGATGATTTAATTCAATTATTACATATAAAATAATGGTAAAATAAAAAAAAGGAAGGTACACCTTAAATTTCCACTTTTTTGAAATTTAGTTACTAGAAATGCTAAAATTTAATTAGTTTTGAAATTTAATTTTTTATAAATGTTTTTTTTTGTAAAGATATATAAAGAAGATTACAAAGATAATTTTTTTTTCAAAATTTAATTTAATACATTTTGAAAACTAAATTTCAGAATATTTATTAATTCCTAAAAATAACCTCTAGAAATTGATTTCTCAGTACTTTGGAAAAAAAATACAAAAATACAAAAAAAAATATAAGTAAAAAAGAGTTTGGGAAAGTAACTATTTATTTTCATTGAGAGTTAAGTTACAAATTAAGAAGAAGAAAAAACTACTTATATCAAACTTTTGTACATGACATGACATCAATGTTCATAGTTTAACTGGCAAGAACATTGCTGTAAAAAAATAAAATAAAAAAAAAGTGGCAAGAAGATTAATAAAAATGTTATAAAAATGTGTTTGATTGGTTATAAATGTTATACAAATATTTATATATGTTACTCAATTAATATTTTACTATATTAAATAAACAAATAAAAGTAATATTACCATAATAAAACATTTTATTTAACTCAAAAATGTTAAATTTTTACCAATACTCCATAAAAATGATTTCATTGGAAACATAGGTAAAAAGCGTTTATAGAAAATAATTTTTATTATGAATATTTTTTTATTCAAAATTAATGAACCAAACATGAAAAATTAACTTTGTAAATTTCTGATTTCTAAAAAAGTAAAAATATATATTTCATATACCAAACACTCGGTTAAGATATTGGGTGAGTTTGGGTTAGTTTTATGAATCAAATTGAGTAATAAAAAAGTTTTAAAGAGTTTTATAACATTTTAACACAAATTAATCAAAATATAATATGAATTATAGATTGAGAATCTTAAAAAAAAATTATATATACATACAGACATATAACATATACATATATATATATATATATATATATAATTAATATATAATATCAGGTATACATAGTGTTTTCAACTAGTCTACCTTACTCCCATGAGTTTCATCGCAATGCCATGGGATGTAACGACAAATAGATGCGTCAATAAAATCTATAATCCTATATATACTTTATCATAGAAATGTATTATATCTAAGAAGCATGGATGACGCAAAGTAGATTCTTAATTTATAGAGCTGAATTTTTCGTTTTGAGGGTTTTGAGTTAGTTTTTCTAATGACTCAGGAAATTAGGGGAAAGCTAATAATGATCAGAAGAATACTATGGCAATCTAATTCATGTGTCTCCAATGCAGCCTTTTATACTGATAAGTTACATGAGAAAACCATCTAATTAACAACTTGATTAACCACCTGCAGTAACTAACTAACTGACTGGTTCCTCATTCTGCTTCTCATCACGTAATAGTTTTTAAAAAGAAGAACTTTTGTTCTAAGATATGATTGGCAATTTAATAATGAAATTTGTGGTAAAGAACGACTAGGCTGGTGTGAAATAAGAGCATTCATCAAATTTCACCATTTAATGTTGTAAACCACAAGCAGTACCAATTTGAATCTTCTGAGACAACCCTCATCATCTTAGAATTATTCCAATTTTCTATTATTAAATATTGATATATTTTTTTGTGTACAATGATGGTACTTAAAATCTCACTATTAAGCCCATCATAGTGGGTTTATTGAATATTGATACAATGATACAAGTGTAAAATATTTGGATAAAAAGAAAATGACATACAAACATAAATATTAAACAACAATGAATGGCCTTTCCTTGTATTTGTGTTACTTAAGAGTATGTTTATATATAAGATTGGAAGTGTTTTTTAAAATTTCTCAAAAAAAATTTCTAAAAACACTTCCAAGATACCTTTAAACATACTCTTAATTAGCTATCTTGAATCGGGACTAATGACAGTTGGCCACCGTATATCTCTGGGAGCTGACTGTGGTCTATTTCTTCTAGCAGGGTTGATTTCACTTTATTTTTCTCCACAAATACTATCTACAAACCAAATCCAACTTTCTAAATATTTTTCTCCAATATCACGAACACATACTGATATATCAATACAAACTAAATCTGAGACATTACCTTCTTCTTGGTTTTGTTGTCAATGAACGGGTAAACAATTTGCCACACTTTCATAAAAATGTATGGTGCATTGACAATAAACAACTTCCCCAATCTTTCGGGGTAGTAATCCTGCATCCAAATATTACAACCATAAGAACGTATGAAGTTTAATTGCAACTTCACAAACAAGAAAAAGAATTGTCAAGTCTTGGTCATATTCTTAACTAACATACCATGCAATATGTTCTACCTTCTACCATAACAAAACACTGACACAAACAAGAAATGGTGGCATACCTGCAAAATGCTTAGAGCACTAACGTATCCACGCACGTCACTGTTAGAGTATCCCCAACCTTTAAGTTCTGCTATACCAACAAACTTTTCTTGCCCAGGTGGCATACTGATACACCAAATGCTGTGTTAATTACTATGACCATCCATAATATGCAAAGCTTCCAATCGAATTCATAGTTCTGAAAGCATTATTTAAAATAGAAATGGGACTATACCTAGCACATAATTTATCAAGAACATAGACTACAAACCCTGCATTATAGAGAAGTTGTATATTTGTCATTGAGAAACAAACTTGTTTGAGTATAACAGAAATGAAATGGCAAAATTAAGCGCATTAATTGGAAATAAACATACGTTTGAATTCATCTAGACCATCTTTGTTCTGAAAGTGTTTTCTACCGAAGACAATGAATATAGGTCGACCTGTCTTGTCGTGTCCTTGCACGAATACCTTGTCCTGTGCAAGTTCGTTAGGAATGTCTGAGATAGATATAGAACCGTTTGGAACAAAAGAATGTCTCCATTTCAAGTACTTCAGGAACATTGCTGAAGCCTTCTCCACATCTAACTCACGAGCACGCAGGAATCTTCTAAGCGTCAAATCATCCTCATCCTGCACCCAAGGAATCAAACGAGTGATTTTGTGAAAAAACTTGTCGACCGTTATTATCATCTTGTGTCGTGAGAGTGAGAGTCATCTTCACCGTGGAACCAAGATATTGAGTGTTGGTGAAAAATAATTAAAATATAACAAACTACAATAATTTAAAATAATAAAAAAAATTAAACTTGTTTGATAGAAAATATCAGCACACGTATATTTTGAAAAAAATTGCTATCTTATTTTATTTTTATTATAAAAATATCATATTTCTTTATTTTATTATTATTTTAAAAAAATTATATAGCGAGATGAAGGATAATAATAGTGGTCATAGATAATATATTCGACTATTATTGTCATTATTATCATCACCACATGGTATGATTATGATGGCAACAAGGTGGTGACATAGGGGATATTTTTTAATTATTGTGTTTTTAACACTAATTGTATGTTGTGGTGTTGAGAGGCTCTAGGAGTTAAGAAATTCCTGAGAAGTCTTTAGGTGTTTTAGAGAGTTTTTCAAGATAGAGGTCCAATTTGACATTGAGGGGGAGATTATATAAAGTTTCTTTTAAAAACTGAGTCTCATAAACTCATTCATAGAGAACTTAGAGAGATAAGTTGAGAGATAGAGGGAGACTCTAGTTCCTAAACCTTTCTTCTTTTCATAGCTTCTTGGGAATCTTAGAACTGTGATTTGAGGCATTTGGCTGAGAATCGGGCAGTGGTAGTGATCTTGTATGGAGCTTCAGTGTTAGCTCAAAATCGTCCTCGTTCTTCCTCTCCTTCCTCTCTTTATTCAGAGATGAGGTAGGGGAAATTAGACTTGATCCTTGTTGAATGGTTGGGTTGTTGGTGCCTAGGATTCTTTAATTTTATGGTCGTATTGATGAATTTGAGGTGGAATATGATGCATGTTAAGTTTTGGTATTTGGAGTTCATGAAGGTGAATTTTGGTGATTTGAGTCTAATTGTTGTTGCATGTTGCCATTTTGATGTAGAATGAATTGCAGATGATGTTTATGTATGATATATTGCATTGTATGTTTGGGATTTCATGGTTTTTAGGTAGTTTGAGCCAAATTCATGGCCTACTAAAGTGCATAATTTACATCATGTTGGACGTACCTTCATGGCATCGAACATGGCTCATGTTAAAGGCTTTCTGCCTCTCCTACATTGGGTACAAGATTGGTAGTGTCAAGTGTGATAGGGGAAGGTTTCTAACTTGGTCACGTCAGACATGGTTTGAATGACATCGGACATGAGATGGGAGAATTGGCTCTATCTAGATTGGTGTTGGACGTCAAAGGAGTGGCATCAAACATGAGAAGAGAGAACTCACTCTATTTGCATTGGCGTTGGGGTCGGCCATGGGACTTTAACACGCCAAGTGCGAGAACTTAGGGGTCTTTACCTAATCCACGTCGGGTGCAATTTGAATGATGTCAAGCGTGGGCAAGGCAGAGGGCTTTAGTGTCGAGTGTGGGTTACTTTGAAAATTCTTGTTATTTGTATGATTAAATGGTGAACATGAATAGGTTAGGTGAATCTATTGCATGTTGTATGATGATGGATGTTATTAGTTCTATAGATATTGATATGGGATAATATGTATAGATGTTATACCAATCGATTATTGAGGTGCAATTATGTCGTAAATGAATTAGTGTTGTGAGATCTATATTCATTGACTTGGGGTAATACATATAGGTGAATATTATTGAGGTGTGATGCTGAGAATAATTCAAGCATTTAGGCTTGATTTGTTGATCTTTTGAAGTGTTGATGCTGAGAGTGCTACAAATATTTAGGCATGTTGATTGACTTAAGACTAGAAGAGAAGTTGTTTTTTGAAAGTTGAATATCCTATTGTGTGGATATTGGTGTGATGCTCTACGAATCCATTTGTTGAAAACCCTCATTGAGTAGGCATTATCTCTTGGAGTAGATTGTTGAATCTCTTCTAGATCCTTAGTTGGGAGTAAGGTATGAACGAGGGTTACAATCCTTTACTGATTATTGTAGAGGTGTGTGGTATCACGAGGATAGTTAGTTAGTTTGTAATTCATAGGGGACTTGGTTAATGCTTGTTAATATCGTGGTAAGCTCATACCCAAGCTATATTATACCTAATGGTGGTATCGAACTTTTCTAGTTTAATTAATGAAGCCCAAGAAATCATGTGCAGTGATAGGTATCTCAACTAGTTGTTGATCTAGTAGGCGTGAAAGGCATGAAAAAAATTGGTTGGTTCGGTAGAATTAATCCATTTAGACTGCTCGTTTTGGTGTAAGAGATCTTCGTAAGTGAATGTGTGACAATGCATTAGTTGAGGTGTATGCATATGATGCAGTGTTACTTGGTGTTGTTCATATGATTTGGTGATTACATGGTTGCATGGCATGGTTGTGGTGTAAGTTTGATTTGCTTGAATTATGTGTTTTTCATACTTATTGATGCCATGTGTTGTATGATGTAAGTCATAAGGTGCATGTTGGATGGTTTACATGTTGTTGTTGGTAATATATTTGTGTTACATCTATACTTGTTATATGTTGCTACTTTTGAAAATCCAGCGTATCCTTACATGTTTTCTTACTGGTAAGACTGTGATGATTATATTTTCATGAGAATAGGATAGGGTTAGCTAGAAGCAAGGCATAATTTTGTATGGCTATACTAGTGATGGCAAAGCTAATTTGTTGATACTACTCAGCTACTTTTAGTAGAGTTGTTTGACTAACAACTTAGGATTAGTATTTAGTATTGAATTATTGTACATAGTTTATATAATTGTGTAGTTATTCTATATCTTTAGTTGTTGTTTTAAATTTTACAGGTATACATTATTGTACATATATTCAGGTATTGCTTATATATGAATCCAAGGTAGTTAGATGTTATTTTATTTCACTTCAAGTAAGAATTGTTAAGTGTAGGAACTATAACTAGTGGTTAGAATATCAATAACAATAGTTATCATCATAGTAGTAATAATAATAGTGGTGATAATAATAATGATAGTGATGGAGATAATTGCTCAATAATGGTGATAGATAATATATTTATTTTTTAATTTAAAAGATAATTTTGACGTGTCAAATCTTATCTTAATATATTAAAGTAAAGGAATGCTAGTAATACACTCTTTAATGTACTATCCTTCATACAATTTCTTTCATTTGTTACAATTTATTGAAAATCACAAAATCAAAAGAGATGGTCATTAAATAAGATTAGACTCGCCAACTTTTGTGTTTTTGAATAAATTTCAAACAAATAAAAAAAATATGTTCAAAAAAGTGTGTTAGAAAGTGTGTTTTTAACATTCCTCATAAAAATAAAATAGTGTAAAAAAAATATTTCTACATGTAGTAAAGGAAATTTAATCATTAAACTATATTTTAAAAACATGATTTCAAATACAAAATAAGAGGTAAAAATTAAAGTAACTTAGCAATTAACTAATTAATAGAACTAAAAAAATAAATAAATTAATGCACTAACATAATTTGTATTAAATATTCTTTTATTTTCAATAAATTATTAATAGTTAATATTACGTATTAGGTAAGTTAAATAAACGATATTAATGAGAATTTAATGAGCACTAGTATTTTTTATGTATATTTTCTACATATATTTGGTATATAACAAATAGTTTATATGACTATTTTTGCTTCCAAAATAGAATTACATATGTTGTTTTTAATTATTTTATTTTATTTTTTAATATATGTAAATTTAAAATAGTTTGGAGCAATTTTTAATTATCAAAGTAAGAGTAATTTGATCATAAAACTATTTTGACAGTTAAGGATATTATATTTGAAAAATATTAATTTTTAATATAAAATAGGGATAAAAATCACAGCAACTTAGTAATTACTAATTAGTAGAATTTTGTTTTTAAGAAGCAAAAGTGTGATTATTGATTAGCCATGGATAATTTATAAGTATGGGTGAATTTCAAAGATATTATTATAAAATATATTTTAAATAAATTATTATCATAAATTTTATATTAATTCTTAAAAATTTATTTATATTACAATAAACGTTTAGGTATGTTTTTAGTTCTTGTAAATAAGTGAATTTTGATTTTGATTCCTGTAAAAGAAAATTTGTTTTTCATTCTTTTAAAATTTGTAAATAATGTTTTTGATTTATGTTAAATACGGTAAATTTTGATTTTGGTTTCTGTAATTTGTTTTTTCATTCCTCTCAAATTTAAATTCATTAATTTTATATCTTAAAGACTATTTTAAAGTATATATATATATATATATATATATAACACTTATTTTAAAGATTTATAAATATAAAAAAAATTAAGTGTCACATGCAAATAAAGTATTATAGACAATTGTGAATATCACTTGAAATCGTCATATAATCTTCTAATTAACACATAAGTAGTTAAAAATAATCACCTAATAGTAGGGACTAAAACAAATAATTTTAAATTTTAGAGGGATAAAAAATAAATAATTTTTTTGCATGCATCATAATGAAAACTTACTTATTTGTAGGAACTAAAAAACATATTTGAGCTTATAATAAATAAGTAATGTTCAATTTTTATAAAATCAAAAATGTTTATTTTTACTTTTGTATTGGTGTTATATTATTGCTAGAGGAATAAAAAAGTAATTTATGACTCTGTGTATTTTTTAATTTAAAAAATAAAAACAAAATCAATGATAAAAAATAACTAAAACTAAATATATGTGAGTGGTTAATAATCAATGTGAAGAGATTTGAGTAATTATTTAGAGGGTGTGAGAAGTTTGAAAAATAAATTTATGAAAAAATAGAAGAAAAAAAACTAAATAAAAAATACAGAAAAAAGTATTTTAGAAGTCAAGGGACAAAATAATTAACAAAATGTGTATATCAAATAGGCTATCACCTTTATTAATAGTATAAATAAAATAGGCTCTTAAACAAACTTATAAATTAGGCTAAACTATTATACAAGTCAAGTTTAATTATAAAAATAGCCGATGACAAATAAAGAAGCTAGACTCTAGTCATATATTTTCGATCAAAATTAGTTTTAGGCTTAATAAATTCTAGCTTGATCAAGTCTATTTCTAAAGTATCATTAATAGTATATTTGAGAATAATTATTTCTATAACACTATATTTTTAGTAGTTATTATGAATTTTATTGAATTAGTATTGTGTTGATTTATTGCTAAATTGTTGAGAAACTCATGAATTAGAGAATTTTTTATAAATTTTTAGTTGTTTAGGAGTGCCTCATAAGTTCATTTTCTTTATAAAAAAAATTAGAGAAAAGTTAACGAGAAGGATTCTAGTTTTCAAACTTATTCTTTTGTTTCCTAGCCTTATCGAGAGTTTGAAAATTCTAGTTGAGTAGCGATTGGGTGATTCAAAACTCAAAAAAGTTGAGAATCTAGGCTTTTAATATATTGTGCGGAGTTGCTAAAAGAGAGCTTGGAACTCATCTTCTTCTTTCTAACTCATTTCTCTTCGATTTAAAGGTAAGAGAAGTCATAACATAATTCCTTGTCAATCTTTGAGTTGCAGTGTATGATATAGTTGTTGAATGATTTTGTTTGTGTTGATAAATTGCATGAATTTGAAATTGGTTGTTAGGTTTTCCGGTTTTATGGTCATCATGTAGTTACAAAATATTTAATGCAAAAAGAGTATGTACAACAACCTTTCTTTTTAATAATTAATGTGCAAAAGTCTTGTCACACATCATCATTAAAAAAATGAAGTGTCTCATGGCAGGTTCAAATAATATTTCTTAAATATAAATGATGTAGATCATAAAAGACGTCATTATTTAGATATCTAGCAAAGATATTGAAAGGAATGGAATGGAGGGACTCGTTCTACTATTTAGCACGATAAAATTATAAGTTTTTTGTCATTTTATTGACTTTTACAACTTTCCGTGTTAACAAAGAAAAAGAAAACTTTACTTGTCAAAAAATAAAAAAATAAAAATAAAACCTTTCAAATGAGGAAAAAATATATTTCACATATTTTATCAATAAAATTCTAAACAATTTTACAAGTTTTTTTTTTTTTTTTTTTTTGAATTCGCTTTCGTTAACTACGTTCAATTTTAAAGTCATTCAACTTTCCCCTGTTTTGAACGTCAAAGCATATAAACATAGCCTTCATGAAAAGAGGTGCATGTGCAGTACAATAGTTACATTTCCCAGTGATCTTACTGGTTACTAGTGATACTAGTTTCGTTAAATTTAAATTTTAAAATAATATCAAAGTCTATTTTAATTATTCTCTTATTGAATTAAGTCAACCAGTTTTATGTCATAACCTATCAACTTATCATTAATTTATCCTCAATATAAAATATTGTTTGAAATTCTAGTAATATAATTAAAGTCACGTGTTTATAAATGGGAGATAAGACACAAACCCAAGTTTTAAAACCTTGACTTGGGTTCTTATACGCACAAACAATCTTATTATTGTAAGTTTGGGTGTAAAGATTATGGAAGAAATGAAAGAAGAAGAAAAAAAATGATATGTTTTTATTTTAAATTTAACACACCGCAGAATAATGCCCTTAAAAATGCATATAAATTAATAAAGAATTGATATAATAATTTATGATTTTCTTAATTATAGCCTCGTATTTAACCAAAGTTGAAATGAAGAATGAATGAATATAGGTTAAATGGCAAAGGTGGAGCAACAAAGAAGTTGAAGTATAAGAAAGTGTTAGTTGCGGGTGAAGAAGAGGAGGGTGTGTTACCTTAGAAGAGGGATGTAGAGGTTGAAGAATGGGTCTGAGGAGAGAAATTTTGGTGAGTTCGGTGGGAGTGACGTGTTGTTCTGTAACGGTGGTGTTGGTGTCCACAACCACAAGTTGCATAGCCATTGTTGATGTATGATCCATGATCTATGACTATGGTTGATGCAATATATATATATAGGAGTATCTAAACTCTTAACCATTAACCAAAGGTAGTTAGTAGGATCTCAGTTGAGTTTTGAGTTTTGAGTTTTGAGTTTTGAGTTTTGAGTTTTGTTGCCTGCGCCCACCCTCTCTAGACATTGATTTCCAACACCTATATATTTGGCGTTTATTTAATTTTCCACAATAATTCACCACTTCACGACAAATGCCAAACCACCTCCCTGTGCCTCTTGTTATGCTTATGTTTTCCCACATCAACATTTATTAAGGACTTTTTTGTCATTATTCATGCATCGATTGCCCCAATTACTTTTCACTATTAAATATATTAACTTTAATCAAATCTTTTATCTAATTAATCTCTATTCTATTCTTTTTTTATCAGATCATTAATAAAAAAAGATAAACATCTATCCCATTTTAAAGGGGACAAAATATTTTATTTAGTTTTATTTTTTCTTTATTTCTCCTTAAATTTACTTTTAAATTTTCTCACACTCTTCTATAAATAATTACTCAAACCCGTTCAGATTCTCTAATTATTACTCGCACATATTTAATTTCATAGATTTTTATTATTTATTTTATTTCTATTTAAAAAAAATATATATGTTGAGACATGAAATGTCTTCTTCACGATAGTATTTACAATAATTTCGGAATGAATTTTACTAAATTTTCTTTCTTTCTTTCTTTCTTTATCTTCGATTTTTTTTCCTTCAATCCATGTGTCAAAAGATGTAGCGTGTAGAAAAAGAAATGAGAGTAACTTGAGTCAAACATAAGACAAGTCTATAAAAGATCTATAATAGTTCTCAAAATTTGTGGCCTTTATTTTATTAGATAATCAATTTGGTAAATTTTAATATAAAAGAACCTCGCACGTATAATTAATTTTAACTATGGGATATATTATTAAAATAAATAAATAATTATTCTCTCAAGTATTTTATATAAGAAGCAAATGTGTATTTATTGTTATAATTATAAGAAACAAAACCTACTCCCTCTGGACTTGTGTATATATAAAAAAGTACCTAAAATTTTTGGATTTAAATATAAATAAAATTTAGCTAATTTAACTTTATTTAATATTATTATTTAAAAAATTATCATTAAATTAAATGTAATTTTTATTTCAAATAAATATTATTAAGGATAGTTTAGAAAGTAAAGTTTAATTTTTACATGAAATCAATAAAATTATATGAATTTGACTAATTTCTTTAATATATATGCATTTAAATATTTTTGTTTGTTTATGAGTGTCGAGAGAGAGAGAGTTTTAAAATATAGTAGCATTAGTTACTATTTTTTTTATATCCTCAATATAATAAAATTCTCATAGGAAAAAAAAATATCTCTCGAGTTAAATGTAGGATCATTAAATAAAACTACTATTTAAACTACTTAATTTAAAGGATATTTTGAAAAATAAAATATAAATTTATGATATTATTTATAAACGTTAACTATTTTATTTTTTAAATTATTTTTTATAAATTAATTATTTATGTTTGTATATAAAAGATCAAGGGAAGTATAATATAAAGGCCTAAGTATGTTTCTAGTCTTTTTTAAATTTAGGTTTATTTTTATTTTTGTTCCTCAAATTTAAAATTATTAATTTTAGCTTCTATAATTTTCAAAAATTTTATTTTAGTCCCTTAAGTCACTAATAACATATCTATAAGTGACAGGTTAAAATAATTATACATTATCATTTGAATTTAATGTGATATTTTCATTAACAGATATATCATTAGGTAGATTACATGTAATAATATTTAACAGATTTGTTAACAAAATTTAAGTATAAAGATTAAAACAAGATTTTTTAAAATTAGAAAAACTAATTAAAAGTTTAAATTTAAATTTAAGGGATTAAAAATAAATTTATCTCGAAATTAAAAAATTAAAAACATATTTAAACCTAATATAAAAAAGAATAACTCAATTTTAATTACTCATTTATTTTAATAATATATCCCATTTCTTTGTTGTTTGGGTCAACAAAGTAACTACAACTACTGTTCGTGCCAGAAACCGAATCCCATTAATAAAAGAGTATAATAACCTATCAAATATGAAGAATAAAGATTATATTAAAAGAGACATTTCCTTTATATATTAATATAACTGCATAAATATTTTTAAAAAATTAAAATAAATTAAATTTGATATTAAATAATAAAGATTTTTAAGAATTCTAGTGTTTAAAGACAATTAATTTATTTAAGTAGTTATACAAATAATTAGTTTTTAATATTATTTTTATTATTTAATAATTTAAAAATAAAATTATCAAAAAAATGTGAAAATGAAAAAAATGGTTAATTATTTCTTTTAACTATATCTATATTAATATATAAAGAAGATACCCTTTTTAGTAACCACCTTAGTCTCCACAATTTTTGGACCATTATACCCTTTTATTTTAAAAAAATTAGAAAAAAAATATTTTTTTTATCAAATTTAAAAACTTAAAGCTAATAGATTAATCATAACACTAATTAGATTAATATACTTTTATTGTTTAATTTTTATTTTTATTTTATTTTATATGAATCATTTTATTTTTTATTTATTTTTCAATAGCTACTTTTTTTTATGAGCATTGATACATAGGCCAAGATTTTATCCGAAACTTCCTCCGAATAATTAAAATAATAATATTTTATAATAAATTTATTAAATAATAATGATCTTATAATAAATTTACTAAAATATATTATTATTTTAATTATTCGGAGGAAGTTTCGGATAAAAGTTTCGGACGTTAAATCATTATCCTTCGCGATATTATTGGGCTAACGTTCAATCACATCAAAATGTCGACTTCTATTAGCGTGGCAATTTGCTTAGGAACATGGGTGGGTGCCTGCTGCCTTGCACTTCTTCTCAACAATATAAATTTAATTTATTGACGCAATTGAAGATTATTAAATAAGATACATATTCATATTCATATAATAATAATAATAATAAGCTTTAAATATATTTTTAATCTTTTAATTTTAAGTTAAATTTATTTCTAATTTTTCAAATTTAATATTATTATTTTTAATCTTTATAATTTTTAAAAATTTTATTTTAATCTCT